GCAAACTTCATGGCTGTTGGAACAAATTCTTTGTGTCCACCCATACCACAGGGGTTCATACGCTTGGGTAACCACTCCCACAATTCACTGACAGGTTTGAAGCCTGTCAGTTACCCTCAATCTTGTTTAGCCCACCCGACAAGGTAGTTTTACCAGGGTGTGGCCACTGTAAATGCTACAGCAGCTTGGAGCGACATTGATTGGAGTGAGCTTCTAGGGTGAAGAGATTTATGGGCCCTTACAGAGAATGTGCAGGTGAGTCAGGAGTGCAACAGAGAAGGATAAACAAAGGGTGAGTATTTTTCCCATGATTTTTCTGAGCCAAAAAAAGGGGTAGCTCTTCCTACAAGCTTCCTTCCCACAATCCTAAGAGCCAACCAATTCAGCCAGTATTGAGGAAACCCATTCTCTAGAAGGCATTAAGAGGCACGTCCACATCCTCAACAGGGAAACACAAAAGGCCAAATGATGGTTCACCTCTGTATTGCTTTCACTTTGCTCAAGGGCCCTACACCTAGATGGTGTGCTTACCCATTTTACAGATGTGACAATGACATTAGGTATAACTAATGCCCTGAATGAGAGAATCCAGATCTGCCAGGGTTTGTGGATTGGGCAAAGATTGTCTCACCTGCCTGGGCCTCAGATACTTAGGAGTGCTTGATGCCGATGAATTTCCTCAGGTGCATTTTCCTCAATCTAATTAAACTGCTTTACTATAACTTTGAAGTTTGAGGGATACTACCTGGCACGTAGAAGGCACTTACCAACACTGAATGAAGGAGGGAGAAAATAGCCAGTACGTGGAGAAATGTTAGGGCTTCTAAGTGGTAAAGGTGAGGGAGGGCATTCTGAAAGAGGGGACCTTTTAGGAAAGGCAAAGAGATGGGTGGGTAGAATTTAGCCAAGGGCACATTAGCAGCTTTCCCTGGATCAGAGAGTATGTGGAGGGGATTGTGCCCCAGCTACAGAGATCTGGACCCAAGAGTTCTAGGGTCAGTGACAGTCACAGGGTCAGTTTGGGTAGTTCCCCATGGCCATGCAACTCTGGAGTTCCCATAGAATGTTTAGCTCATACTTCCAGTAGGACTGATGATCATGGCAGACACAGAAGACCAGAAGATCCTCTCATGCCACAGGGTCTGGTACAAACCAGAGCTCAGGAAGGTGGCTGTCTTGCTGACCCCTGATGAGACCTCTGATCTCATTTGACCACAGCTAACCCAACACAGAGCAGGGGCAGTGGAGGCCTGAGCCGTCCTGGGGGAGGAGCCATGCTATGATTGTCCTTGACTCCCTTATTCCTTGGGGTCCTTCAAGCCCCAGCTGAATTCCCACCTTCTGTAGGAAGCCTTTCCCAGTCCCCTTAATGCTAATGCCATCCCCTCAGAAATTATCTCCAAGTTCCCTGGTCTACAGCTTATTTCTACATAGTTGTTTGCCTGTTGTCTCCCCATTAGACGATGAGTTCCTTGAGATCAGAGACTGTTCTTGCCTTTTTTGATATCATCCTGACTTACAGAAGTGCTTGGCACATAGTAGGGCTTAATAATTGCTTGTAGAGAGCTTGGGAGCAGCATCAACTCTCTCTCTGCCAGAGGTCCCATACATCTCCCCCTACTTCCTGACATGACCCTCAGCCCCAACGCTTCAGGAATGCTTGAGAAATGATGAGAGAGTGGGAGAGGGACAGAAGAGAATTACATTGTGTTCCTGTCCTAGGACCCTTTCATCTTGATGTATGCTGAAGCAACCTAGAAACTCATCCTTGAACAGGTCTAGCAGCTGGGGAAGCCGCTGTGTTGGGATCTACTACTGTCAGTCCTTGAGGACAGACTGTGAGACTTATGACTTATGCCAGTACTGGATACTGAGAAGAGCAATATGAAAGGAGACAGCAGCCCTGGGCCGGTTATCGAGGGGAAAGAAGAGAAAAAGAATGGGCCACTGTGTAGGAGGCTGAGAGTATGTGCTGGATCCTGAGGAAAGAGAGAAAAAACAGCTCTGGGCCATGTGATGGGCATTGAGGGGACAGAGAAGAAGGAGGCCTAGGAACCCACCCCTGGCCCTGAGAAGAAAGAGAGAAGAGCCCCAGGTCCTGTGCGGAGAATGAGGGAGGTCAGGGGGGAGGGAGCTCCCACTGCAGCAAGATGCCAACTTCAACTGAAAGGCATCCCACTCCAGGTTGTACACCTGGTAATGTGGACCATTCTGAGCCTCAGCACATGAATAACCAACACTTGAATCAAAATATGTAAAAATGCTCCCAGGTGAAAACAGCTCCCATGGGATTAAAGCTGCCCTCCCCTCCAAAAAAAAAAAAAAATGAAAGGAAGTCACAAGCCAAGAAATTAAAGAGTGGGTAATGAAGTCCCCGAGGACTCCGAAGCATCCCACTAAAGTCCTAAGAAGCACATTTACAGCCTTCTTGCCCAAAGGGCCCACGCCTGGTCACAGGACCATCCACCTGGGGGCCAAGTCAACTCAAAATGGTCCTTGTCTGCAACCTGGCTTCTTCACTCCCAACAATCCCAACTGAGACTTTGAGCCTGGAAGGGGTTAAACTCCCATCTCCCCAGTGCTGTAAGACAGGACAGATTTCTATTAACTAGCATGATACTACTCAGGGGAGGAGGAAGTTGTGGGCTAATGTGCGGAGGCAAAAAAAGGGCCTGAGAGTGAGAAAAGAGCCCAGCTGTGATGTCCACACCAGGGGAGGGCAAAGAGCTGGGAGGAACCGCAGGGGCCACTCTTGGATCCCTGGCTCTGCCCAACACTCACTACATGACTCCAGAAAACTCAGTCTCTGGGCCTCTGTTTCCTCGCCTATAAAATGGAGGGGTGGGATTCAGTATCCAAGGCCCTCCTGGCTATGTCCTAAGCTGTGTCTAAAAGACTCACTTGTGGCTAGGCCAAAAGACTGAAACAAAGGATTGGTGACATAGCGGGGTAGTTCCCCTTCTGGAAGTGCTGAGGGTCACAGGGCAAGGAAAGCGAAGCTGGATGTGGGTACATCTTCCACACCCCAAAAAAGTCCCCATTTCCTCTTCCTCTGCCCAGAGGCGTGAGCTTCGAGGCCTATCTGAGGGAAGGTGAAAGACCTGGCCACGCACCACAGAGTCCTCAGCCACAGTGCTCAGGCTGACGTCTTCTTGGTGCCCACCCAGAACCTCTATGGGGTTCCAGGATTCTTGTGTGGTTCAACAAAATATGTGCGTGGCCACAGTGTGGCTCATCTATGTAACGGTGCTGGGCAGAGAGGGTCAGAGAGGAGAAGAGGCCTCAGAGGTGGGTGGGGGCTCAGGACCAGAAGCCAAACTTGAGGCTAATTCAGTCATTTTAAGGCTTGTGCCAGACCGGTGGCCGCTCCCTTCTGGCCCAGCCTTTTCCAGGCCAAGATTTGGCAGGCCTGGGATGTTGGTGGACCGGCTTAGAAAAGACATTCCTCACTAGGGAGGTCCACTCAGGCAGGCCCTCTAGTGGCTTCCTTTCAGGAGGTATGAAGTCCCTGAGGGATTCCCAGGAAGAGGCTGGTGATGTCCTGGCTTTGAGGAAGCTGAGGGCATTGCTGCTTCTGGTACCACCTGAGGGGGTGGTATGAAGGTGTCCCACAGGTAAGGCACTGCCACTATAACCCCTGGGATGGAGGAAGTGTCCTCCCCAAAGAGCCTGACTCCTTCCTACATGTTTGAGTGTGCACAAACTCACAAAGTCACACTCAGTCTCACACACACACACATACATACATGCAGTCACACACACACCATACATGTGTGCACACACGCACGCACACACACATACACACACCCCTCACGCACACACACATACACATACACACACACTCATACACACACACATACACATACACACACACATACACATACACGCACGCGCACACACACACACACACACACACACACACACACACACACTCCTTGGCTCTAATGCCAAGCCTGTGACTGGACTTGGATGTCCAACAGCTAGCCTAGCAGCACAGAGGTGTGGGGTTTCCCCTCAGCCATGATGGGGACCAGAGAGCAGCTCACAGAAGATGCAGGAGGACTTCAGTAGCTGCGAAGGGGTGAGCATCCCTCGAGCTGCGATCTAGAAGTCTGGGGTGTAAACACTATTAAAGATGGCTGGCCGTTTTCCCAGTAACCACTTTATGTCTGAATCCACCGTCTCTAAGGACAACGTGGCTGTCCAGAAGGGCCAGCAGGCCCACCAGCTGGGGGCAGAGGACAGGATTTTTTGGTACTTCATACTTTGCTATACATTCCCAGTAAATATCATTTTGTAACAGTTAAATAAATGCTTGTGGAATCAATGTGAGCTAACTGACGTCCCTTGGTTAATTGATACTGGGGAGACAGCAACTGGCTAAGTGATTGTGGGAGCAAGCTGGGGGTGTGACTCAAAAGCAACAGTATTAAAAAATTAGTTACCCTGTCCTGGGGACGTGACCTGCCAATCTGAGGGCAAGTTGGGAGGGAGAGTCCCAGGGCCTGCAGTCTACAGAAGGCAGAGGCCTCAGCAGTGCTGAGGAGTGGCTGAAGCTAGCAAGGTGACTTGGAAAACTCCAGGAGAGACCATCCTGGGCCCTGAGGCAGCAACTCCCCCTTCAGCCCCTTATTCTGGGGCTTGGCTTTAACCCCTTCATTACCAGGACCCCAGGAATCATCCCTGTCTGCTCAGTGAGGGATTGAGCCCCATTTAAAGAGGCAGGGCTGGGGACAGGGCTCAGGCTGAGGGCAGGATCTGGTTTGGGGACCAGGGTCAGATTCATGGGCCCCTAGTGAGACCAGCACATGCCAATTACCGGGGAGGGGGATGCTGTGAGGCAGACACCTAATGCTTACCTGGCGATCTTTCACAGGCTGTGGGGCCCGAATTATCACCAAAAAAGTAAGAACTGTTCCACCATCCTGACACTAGAGGACTCCCCAACCCCTCCCACTTCACCTCACCCCCCCCCACACACACACACATACACACACACACAGCATGGGGCCGTCGATGAAGCAGCAACCACAGAGAGGAAGGAGAAGTGAACCTTCTCGGGTCTGGCAAACTCAGAGCAGAGCCAGCCCTGGTCACGTCCTGTGCCTCAGACTGTCCTGGTCAGACTGCAGAGCCTTCTCCTACCAGCTGCTGGGACCCATGACCCACACCCTCTCTGTCCTACTGTGCCTTGGTGAGTCTTTAGAAACCCCCTGTTTGAGGGGACTTTACACACCATTCAGTCCAACCTGTTCCCACCTGCACGTTGTTGAGGAAGAAAGTCTCGTCCAGAGAAGGGGAGTGATGAGTCTGAGGTCACCCAGCCAGGAGGGAGGGGGGAGAAGCTGGAGCTCTTGGAGAGGTCTTCTGGCATCCAGCCCCTTTCACTCCCACCAGCCTTAAGCCCAGGCTCTGGGCCTCTGTCTCTATCTTCTGGGGGTGTTGGGTGGGGAGGATGTGGGGACCTGGGAGTAACCAGGGTCCTCTCTGCAGGGCTGTGTCTGGGCCAGAGGATAAAGGCAGAGGCAGGTGAGTCCTTCCCCCCACACTCCCCCTGCCCAGAGCAGACAGCTGCCCCCAGGAGAGGGAGGGGGAGGTCTGGGCAGGGCTAACAAGGCTTAAAGTGAGGGGATGCAGTATGGGGGGCTCACAGAAGGGGGTGCCCTGGAACTGACAGCTCTCATTCACTTCCAGACACACTCCCCAGACCCTCCCTCAAAGCAGAGAACGGCCCTTTGGTGCCACTGGGGACAAGTGTGACCCTCAGGTGCCGGGGGGGATGGGAAGGTGATGAGTACCGTCTGGAGAAATGGGAGGAATATGGAAGGCAAAGGATCATGGATATGAAATCAAATGAAATGGAGGGCGAGTTTCTCATGCCATCAGTGACAGCGGAACATGCTGGGACCTACTACTGCCTCTACGAACACTCATCTCACTGGTCAGATCGCAGTGACCCCCTGCAGCTGGTGGTGACAGGTGAGGAATCCCCCCACACACACACACCAGGCCCTTCAGGCAGGGCTGGCTCTGGGTCCCAGCAGCCCCTAAGCTCCTCCCCAGCCCAGCCTGGCCCCAAGCACCCTCTGCCTCTGCCCTTCTTGTCATCTCCCCTGTCTCTGCCTCTGCTCTCCCTCTGGGGCTAGAGGTGGGGGAAGGGAATCAGCATTTATACAGCACCTACTGTGTGCCAAGCACTTTACAGGCATTATCTCCTTTGGTCCTCACAGAACCTCTGTGAGGTAGGTGCTACAAGGATCCCAGTCTTACAATGGGGAAAACTGAGGTGAAAGACAGGAAGTGACTTGCCCAGAATCACACAGCTGACAAGTGTCTAAGGCTAGATTCGAACTCAGCTCTTCCTGACTCCAGGCCCACGGCTCTATCCACTGCACCACCAGTTGCCTCAGTCAGAGCCAGAGAGGAGGCGGGAGGCTCAGCTTGGGTCTCAGGTCACCAGACAGAGCTGAGAGCTCCCTAGGGAGGGGGCACAGAGATGGTGGGGCATCTCCCCCTCCCAGCCCTGACCCTGCCAAAGCCAGGAGAGGGAGGCCAGGGTGGACCTGCTGCTGCTCTCTCCCCTCTCTCAGCTCAGGCCTAGGCACAGGGAGGGGAGGAGAGGGGTGTCTCCTCTGTGTATCCCCAAGGATTTTCTGTACAGGAAGGTTTAGGAGGCGAGGATGGAAGTGAAGCAGAAATCTCAGCCAAGCCTCCTACTCTCCTTCCCACACCTGCCCCAGGTGCCCACCAGGGTCCAGGATGAGAGCCAGGCTCTGCTTTGGGGAGCTCATGACTACCCCAAACTGCAGAGATGTGTCTTAAATGTGCCTCCACCCCTAATGTCCCTGGAGAGAGATTCTATAGTGAAGGACCAGGGATTGGGGCTCCCAGCCCCAGATCAGGGAGGAAGATGCCCTGTCTATGTTTCCCTCCCCAACACTGGCCCCCATTTGTCTCTGTGTCTCTGTCTCTGTCTGTCTCTGTCTCTGTCTCTCTCTGTCTCTCTCTCTGTCTCTCCCTGCCCAGTCTCAGTCTCTCTCTGACTCTGTCTGTTTCTCTGTCTCTCTCTCAGTCTTCACTCACCCACTTTCCATTTCCCTCCAGAGCTGCACAAGGTCCTTCCTCTCCCTCTCCCCTCAAAGCTCTGATTTCACCATTTTTGTAAAGACGAACTAAATCTCCACACCCAGGCAGGGGTCTAAGGAAGGCCCAGGCCAGTTCTCCCACCAACCAAATCTGCTCCCATACCCTGAAGGAGGAGACTTACAGCCCTAACTCCAGGCTCTCCTCCTCCTCCTCCTTCCCCAGGCCTGTATGACCCACCCTCCCTCTCAGCCCTGCCCAGCTCCCAGGTGGCCTCTGGACACAATGTGACCCTGCAGTGCCAGTCAGAGGACGGGAATGACAGATTTGCCCTGTACAAGGATGGAGAACAGATCACCCAAGGCAGGGCCCAGCCCCATGGAAGGGGGTCTCTGGCCAACTTCTCCATCCCTGCTGTGAGCGCTATCCACGGAAGGACTTACCAATGCTACATCTTTCATAGCTACCGCCCTTACGAGTGGTCAGCCCCCAGCAACCCCCTGGTACTCAGGGTCACAGGTGAGGGAGCCCAGCCCCACCCCATGCCTCCTATCCCTCCTGAGCTCCTTCACTGGCCCTGGGGCACCTCCCTACTTGCACAAGGGATCCCAGGGGCCAGGAGAGCTGGGGGAAGAGGAGGCTCAGAGGGGGGGATGGGGAGCCTGGGCCATGGGTCCTGCTCAGAGAATGCAGACAGTCAGGCCTCTCCTCCCTGGACCCTCTAGACACCCTCACCATCTGCCACCTCTCCAGTTATGTTGGTCCCACAGACAGACAATATGTCTACTAGGTCCCAGGAAAGGGGTTGAAGAGGGGGAGCCAAGAGGAGACCAGAGCAGGCCTGTGGTATAGACAGTGAGGAGGGGGGAGGTTAAACACCACCAAGCTCCTCACCCTTCTCCTCCCCTGTATCCCTTCCCTGCCTCCAAAGCTCAGACAGGAGCTAGAAAAGGGGTCAGAAGAATCATGGAATCATCAAATCTCACAAGTGGACAGGCCAGGAGAGGTCACTGAGCACACACACCCATTTAACAGATGCAAAAATGAGGCTCAGAGAAGGGAGGGGCTTGCTCAACCTCCCACACCAGCACATCTGGGCACATCTGGGGCTCCCTGCAGACCCTCCAGGCCTCTCTGCACTCCTCTGTCCAGCCCCTAACCCTGCCCCCTTCCTCATCCCCAGGGACCTTCTCTCCAAGCCCTGAATCTGGGAGCACACAGTTTGGTGAGTAACTGGAGCCTTCCCAGCAGAGAGAGGAGGGAGGCAGGGGCTGGATGTCCAGTCAGGGTCTGCCCACCCCATGCAGGGCCCCCCTCATTTCCCACCACTCCTCCCACAGCACTTTGTGATTCTCCTTTTCCCACCTCCAGGCCTTTGACCAGGCTGTCTCCCCTGCCAGGCATGCCCTTCCTCCTCACCTCCTCCTCTTACAATGCAAAGATCCCTCCCAAGCTGAGCTGAGGAGCCTTGTCCTAAAGAAGCCTCTCCTGCCCCCCTCCCCAGTTGTTAGCCATCCCACTCCTCAGATGAGACCCCGTTGATTTATTTGTGAATATACCACAGAACATTCCAGGAGAATGTCAGCCCCTTTTTGGGCAGGAGCTAGCTCTGTTTTGCCTTATTTCCTACGGATGTGACCTAGCCCAGGGCCTGGGCCAGCATGAGTAAGGGGCTGTAGACCTCAATTGTGAGCAGCCAGGTGGAGCAGCAGAGTGCCAGGCCTGCAGTCAGGAAGACTCATTTTCCTGAGTTAAAATCTGGCATCAGACACTTACTAGCTGTGTGACCCTGGACAAGTCACTTAACCCTGTTGGCCTCAGTTCATCATCTTTAAAATGAGCAGGAGAAGGAAAAGGCAAATCACTCTAGTATCTTTGCAGAGAAAACCCCAGATGGGGTCATGGAGAGTCAGACATGACTGAAAAATGACTGAATAACAGAACTGAATTATTGAATAAAACTGGAGGGTCCCTGAGGACAGGGCTCTTTCTCCTTCCCCTTGGACTGGGGGCTCCTCAAAGATCAGTTTCCCATTAACACTTCCCCCTTCCCTGGTCTTCATCCTTGGCTTCCCCAGGTCTTGCAGCAGGCATCCTGATAGGAGTCTCAGCATTTCTCATTCTGATCTCCCTCTTCCTCCTCCTCCTTCTCTGCCATCGATGCCATCGGCATCAGGCCAGACTCAGTGAGTTCTTGGGGCTGGGGGCCACCTGGGCTGAGGGCCCAATGGGGCATGAGCTGAGCCCCACTAAACCCTGACTCTCCCTCTCCTTACAGGGAATGGGGGCAGAGAGGCAGAGGTCAGGAAGACCACCAGGAGGTAAGGCCCCAGACACACCCTGACTCCCCCTAGACCCTCCCCCAGCGCACCTGACCACCTTCCCAGACCTTCCCCCTCAACTTTCTGTGCCTTCTTGCTCCCCAGCTCTGACCCAGCTGGGACCTCCCTGGAAGAGACCCCATGTGAGTGAGAAGGGCAGGGGCAGGGGGGCCTGGGGTGGCAGAGGGAAGAGCCTGGTCCTGGCCCCTCATGCCTTCTCCTCTTGCCTCCAGATGCTGCTGTGAATGATGACAGACAGACAGAGGAGGCCAGACAAGAGGACATAGCTGTGAGTCACTCACACATCTCTCCTTCTGGAGGGAACAGGGAGGCAGAGGCTTCCCCAAAGCCCCACGCAGCTGGGAAGGTTCAGGGTCCTTTCCCCTCCTCAGCCCTCCTGTCCCATGTCCCACTCCATCCCTCCATCTCCTCCTGCCAGGCTCCCAAAAGGGAAGACCCTCAGGAAGTGACCTACGCCCAGCTGAACCCCAACAGCTTCAAGGCTGGGGCCAAGGACCCTCCCCCCTCAGGACCAGTGGAGCCCAGCCTCTATGCCACCCTGCGGTGAGCTCAGCCCGTGCCCAGGGGACCCCAGGAGGAAGACGCCCCTCTCCATTCAGCCTCTGCTTTATGAGGGCAGACCCTGACCTACCCAGATGTTAGGACTCCTGCTCCTCACCCCAAGGGGAAGGGCAGAAAGGATGACAAACTGCTGGGAACAGGGGTCCTCTCTCCTCTGCCACCAGTAGAATGTGCCCTGGGCAATGCCAGGCCACCAGAGTAGAGGCAGACCAGTCACCGAACACTGATTCTGAGTTATCTGGGTCCTGCCCACGATGGATCTATCAGGACACTGAGGGGCAGAGATGCTATGTAGTAGAGGCCAGAGGGCCCGCTTGTCTCCAGAGGAGGAGAGGAAGAGGAGGAAGGAAACAGGTTCTCAGCACCTACTCTGTGCCAGGCTCTGTGCTAAGCACTCTACAAATACAATCCCATAGTATCTCCATACCAGTCTTGGGAGATAGCTGCTGGTGTTATTGCCATTTTACACTTTAGGTAAACAGAGGTAGATGGAGGTTAAGGAAGAAGACAGAAGAGGACAGGAGAAGAGGGGTAGGGAGAGGAAGGGAAGTATCTAACAATGGGGCAGTGGCTGGGCACACAGTGGGACGGGGATGTTGTTACACCCTGAGAAATGATGGGAGAAATGATTTCAGAGAATGCTGACAGAGAGCAAAGTGAGCAGAACTGGGAGGAGGGTTTGTACCAGGGCAATAGTATTATGAAGAAACAACGAGGAAACACCAAAGAATTCCCACCAGGGCAATGACTAAGCATGACTCCAGAGGAGGTCAGATGGTGCCTACGACCACCTGCTGGTAGAGACAGGGTGTACACCTGGGACAGAAAAGGACAGGGGTTTTGTGCACATAAGCACTTTGTAGGCTGGTTTTGCTTAACTTGACTTACTTGTTACAAAGTTGCTGTTACTTCTTCCTCTAGGTTTTCTATTTGGGAAGGGGCTTTGGGGGGAGGGGCACATCAGTACTGTAATAGTGATGGGGGGAAAAAAATCCCAGAGGAAAGATCATCCAGAAAGAGAGGTTGGTCAGTGGCATCGAAGGCTGAGGATCCAGAAAAGAGATTCCATTGAGCAAATAAGAGATAACTGAAGATTTGGGAGAGAATGGCTTCCACGGAGTGCCGATATCAGGTGCCTGCCCCCAGGGAGCTGCCAGTCTAAGGGGGAAGACAACAGGCAAATGATTCTATACATACAAGGTACGGATAAATTGGGGGCAATCTCCTGGGAAGGCAGTGATATCAAAGAAGATTGGGAAAGGCTTCCTGCAGGAGGTGGGGTTGGACCTGCAACTTCAAGGAGGCAGGGAAGGCCATTTGCTTGTGAAAAATGGCCTTTTATTCATGGTTAATTCCAAGAATTTGTCCCTCTGCTCATGATGGAGTCCACCACGAAAGGTTTTTCATTTAGACTCTAAGCACATCCAGAAAAGCCTTATGCCATTAGGAATTCATCACTGCCCTACCTTCACAGTTAATTGGTAGAAAACAGATAAACTTTTGTTCTTATTTTCATACATTTCCCTGCATTTTCTTGCAGAATAGCCTCACTCTCTTGGTTAAGTCAAATGGTATTGTCTTAATGATTCACCATCTGTGTGGTCCTTTCTACCCTGCTAAGCTATCAGATGGCTCAGTGGAAGGAGCACCAGCCCTGGACACTTCAGGGTTTGAATTCAAATCCAGCCTCAGATGCTTCCTGTGTGACCCTGGGCAAGTTACTTCACCTCTTGAGGCTGCCTCAATTTCTTCAACTGTAAAATGAGGGTCATAATAGCACCCTCCTCCAAGGGTGGTTGTGAGGATCACTGGAGACAGTATTTCTAAGGCATCTGGCACATAGTAGACTCTTAATAAATACTGGTGTCCTTCCTGTCAAGCACCAGCAGCTAAATATTTTTAACTTTGTGATTACGCATATTTACCTTCATACTTAATGATCAGTATGGTAAATTAATAGATATTAGTGTTGAATATTCAACAGATGATATTACAGAAAGCAGTAAGATTGATAAAAAACAAAACACACAAATATTTGCCCCCCATAACACCCCAAAAAAGAATCATTCCTTTTTCTTCTACTGGAATCCTCTGCCCCAGGAAATCTAATAAATCCCACTAGGAAATCACTCCAATGGTTCCCTGCCAATGCATAGGATAGCCCTCTCCCTGCCTCCCCAAATGCCTAGGATGGGGCAGCTGACTCCTGGGCAACCCAGCCTATAAGTGTGAGGCAAGAGGGAAGCCCCCACACAGAGAATACAGTGGAGGGATCCTGAGCAGAGAGGGGGACCAGGCACCTCCTACCCCAGGACAACTGTAGGAGGGTCCCAGGACCTTCTTCTCTGCTGCTCAAATCAACTCTGCCCCAGAAGCTTCACTTCTTAGAGGGCGCCTGGCCTTAGAAAGGGCCACCAGATGGCAAGACTGACCCAGGCACGTTTCACCAAACCCCTGCCTATGCTCCTTTAAAGATCTCCCCAGTCCTTGTCCCTGTTCCCTGCAGTGACCTGCTGTGATTGCTTCAGTTGGGCTGGGGTGAGACCCCCTGTTGGGGCTTCCTGACCAGTGCCACCCCTCCCCCCATACATGACTACTTGCTGCCCTTCCAGCTCGAAGAGGACAAAAATGACATCACTACACTGGAGTCAAGATTCAGTGTGTTTGACTGTGGCTGATCACACCAGTACAAGCGCTGAATGTTCTACCACAGGTTGAGCACAAACAGTGCGTGTGAACATCGGGGCTGAATTCTCTACATCTGCCTATCCTGTCTTTCTTTTGATATATTTCAGCTCTGCTTTGCTCACAGAGCACAGCGCCTTCTCACATGAGGGCACGCCATGGTGAGGGCTCCTGTGCCAGTGTCTCCTATTCGCAAAATAAAGTCCACGTTTCTGAAGAGGGTTCTTGATAATGTCTGTGCCCTGCCCCATACATAACCATATAATAGAAGTATGGGAGAGAAGCCTAGTGGCTTCTATGGTTTGTGGGAAGGGGGAGACTGAGGGGAAGAGGCTTCCTTAAGCATCTACATTGCTCTCTCATTTGAACTTCACACCACCACTGGATGGTAGTGATGGGGACACGGGACCTGGACCCTGAATTTTAACACACATCTCAGTAGCCCAGAACACTGACATCTCTTGGAAGCATCTGGCCCGGCCCAGCCCACCTAGATACTCAGCAGTCCTTTCACAGTGCTCTTCACCCATCCCAAACCACTTCACTCATTTCACTGGTCCACCTGGCCCACCCCAGGCCATTTACCACTCCTGAATCCCATCCAGATCTTCTCACTGTCTGTATTTGTATGTAAGTAGCCATCTCACCCCCATCAAGACACAGATTCATTGGGAATCTTGCCCACTCTGTTGGCATTACCATAAGCCTCACTGCCTTGACTGAAAGAACGTTTGAGTGCTTCAATTCTTTCCAGGCGGACTTGCCCTGCATCCTGACATTTCAGGGCTCCCAACACCCCAAACCACATCAGTAGGCGTTATTATGAACCTCATTTTAAAACTGAGGAAACCGAGGAAGATAGCGGTGAAGTGATTTGCACAAGGTTTCACACCCAGGTCTTTCTGACTCTATCCACTTCACCCTCTAGCAATGAAGGTGGTGATTGAACTGAGGGCCCTAGGGAGGTGAGGACAGAAGGCACTTCAGGGGTCTCCCACTGGGGGGGATGGGCAGGGGAGAGATTTGGAGGGAGGGAAGGAAGGGTCCAACCTTCACTCCCCAGCTCACTCTCGGGAAAAAATGGACTTGATCAGGCAAGAGTAAGGGCCCAGAGAAAGAGAAGAAGGGAAAGAGTGGGGCACAGGGATTTGGGAGCACACAGGCGGTTTAGTCTTCTAAGGGTATTAAGTTCGGTAAGTGTCCGAGGCCGGATTTGAACTCAGGAAGATGAGTCTTCTGGCTCCTGGCCCTGCACTCCCTGCACTGTGGTGCCACCTAGCGGCCCCAGGGTGGAGATACAAACTAAAATAATAGACTGAGACTCAATTGGCCTTAGGCTGCCTGAGTGAAAGGTGCAGGCCATCACAAAACAAAAGCTTGAACTTGACTTTCTCTGGAATGTGGGTGAAGGGTACAGTTACAAGGGTAAGCAGAGTAGGTACTTCTAAGAGATTGCCTAAGTCTTCAAAGCAGAACTAAAATCCATTTTCAGTTTGACAATGACACTGGGGAGAGAACTACCGGCTGAATGATATTCTGGGCACACTAGGTGGGGGCTCATAAACAATGCTAATAAGTAGTTATTGGTGCTTCTTTTTCAGAGGGCCAATGACCAACAACGTTGCCTGAATTGGAGTAAAGCCAAGCAGGGCTGCCCACAGCCTCAACCTCACTCTCTCTTCCTCAGTCAAAGTTGGTGACAAGACAACAGTCAGGAGGACTGCGGGTGGTCTGGGCTGGGGTGGATAACCTTGGTGTCTCCCTGGCTGACCCAGCTCTAAGCACCCTGCAGAGCCTGCCTCAGCAGCCTTCATGTTCTCCTCTGCCCATTTCTGCCATGGGAACTGCCCACGTGCTTGTGACACACTGGACATCCCCCTCACTCACCAACAGGTTGGAGGCCTGCTGGTTACCCTACACCTGGCTAAGCCCATCTAAAGGGATGGCTTTACCCAGTGTGGCCACTGTCCATGCAGCAGCTTCTTGGAGCCACAGGGGAGAGCTAGCTGACAGGTAAAGACCTAAGGTAGATGAGCAGCCCTCACACCACAAGTGCTGGGCTCCCTCAACACCCCATGTACCCCACTAGAGGAATAGTAACCCTGTCCTGGGGACCTGACCTGCCAATCTGAGGGCAAGTTGGGAGGGAGAGTCCCAGGGCCTTCAGTCTACAGAAGGCAGAAGCCTCAGCAGTGCTGAGGAGTGGCTGAAGCTAGCAAGGTGACTTGGAAAACTGCAGGACAGATGACCCTGGGAACTGAGGCAGTAGCCCCCCCATCAGCTCCTTATTCTGGGGCTTGGATTTAACCCCTTTATTAACAGACGCAAGAATCCTTACCTACTAAGTGAGGGATTGAGCCCCATTTAAAAAGGCAGGGCTGGGGGCAGGGATCAGGCTGAGGGCAGAATCTGGTAGGGACCAAGGTCAGATTCACAGGCCCCTAGTGAGGCCAGTACCCGCTAATTTCAGGGACAGAGGGGAGGGGCTGTGAGGCTGACACCTAACACTTACCTGGAGATCTTTCCCAGACTGTGGGGCCAGAATTATCACCAAAAAAGCAAGAATTCTTCCACCATTCTGACACTAGAGGATTCCCCAGCTGCTCCACGCAACTTCTCCCCAGCACAAACACACAGCATGGGCCCATCGATGAAGCAGCAACCACAGAGAGGAAGGAGGAGTGAACCTTGGGGCCTGGCAAACTCAGAGCAGAGCCGGCCCTGGTCACGTCCTGTGCCTCAGACTGTCCTGGTCAGACTGCAGAGCCTTCTCCTACCAGCTGCTGGGACCCATGACCCACACCCTCTCTGTCCTACTGTGCCTTGGTGAGTTCTTTAGAAGCCCCCTGTTTGAGGGGACTTTACACACCATTCAGTCCAACCTGTTCCCACCTGCACGTTGTTGAGGAAGAAAGTCTCGTCCAGAGAAGGGGAGTGATGAGTCTGAGGTCACCCAGCCAGGAGGGGGGGGAGAAGCTGGAGCTCTTGGAGAGGTCTTCTGGCATCCAGCCCCTTTCACTCACTCGAGCCCTAAGCCCAGGCTCTGGGCCTCTGTCTCCTTCCTCTGGGGGTGTTGGGTGGGGAGGATGTGGGGACCTGGGAGTAACCAGGGTCTTCTCTACCAGGGCTGTGTCTGGGCCAGAGGATGAAGGCAGAGGCAGGTGAGTCCTTCCCCCCAACACACCCCCTTCCCAGAGCAGACAGCTGCCCCCAGGAGAGGGAGGGGGGAGGTCTGGTCAGGGCTGAAAGGTTTAAAGTGAGGGGACGCAGCATGGGGGAACCACAGAAGGGGGTGCCCTGGAACTGACAGCTCTCATTCACTTCCAGACACACTCCCCAGACCCTCCCTCAAAGCAGAGAACGGCCCTTTGGTGCCACTGGGGACAAGTGTGACCCTCAGGTGCCGGGGGGGATGGGAAGGTGATGAGTACCGTCTGGAGAAATGGGAGGAATATGGAAGGAAAAGGACCGTGGATGTGAAATCAAATGAAATGGAGGGCGAGTTTCACATCCCATCACTGACAGCAAAAGATGCAGGGACCTACTACTGCTTCTACAAACACTCATCTCACTGGTCAGATCGCAGTGACCCCCTGCAGCTCGTGGTGACAGGTGAGGAATTCCACACACACACACCAGGCCCAGGCCCTTCAGGCAGGGCTGGCTCTGGGTCCCAGCAGCCCCTAAGCTCCTCCCCAGCCCAACCTGGCCCCAAGCACCCTCTGCCTCTGCCCTTCCTGTCCTGCTCTCCCTCTAGCACTAGAGGTGGGTGAAGGGAATCAGCATTTATACAACACCTACTGTATGCCAAGCACTATACAGGTATTATCTTTTTTGGTCCTCACAGCAGCTCTGTGAGGTAGGTGCTTCAATGATCCCAATCTTACAGTGGGGGAAACTGAGGTGAACAGACAGGAAGTGACTTGCCCAGAATCACATAGCTGAGAAGTGTCTAAGGCTGGATTTGAACTCAGCTCTTCCTGACTCCAGGCCCACGGCTCTATCCACTGCACCACCAGCTGCCTCAGTCAGAGCCCATCTTGGGACCAGAGAGGAGGTGGGAGGCTCAGTTTGGGTCTCAGGTCACCAGACAGAGCAGGGAGCTCCCTGGGGGGGGAGGGGGCACAGAGCTGATGGGGCATCTCCCCCTCCCAGCCCTGACCCTGCCAAAGCCAGGAGAGGGAGGGCAGGGTGGACCTGCTGCTGCTCTCTCCCCTCTCTCAGCTCAGGCCTAGGCACAGGGAGGGGAGGAGAGGGGTGTCTCCTCTGTGTGTCCCCAAGGATTTTCTGTACAGGAAGGTTTAGGAGGTGAGGATGGAAGTGAAGCAGAAATCTCAGCCAAGCCTCCTACTCTCCTTCCCACACCTGCCCCAGGGACCCACCAGGGTCCAGGATGAGAGCCAGGATCTGCTTTGGGGAGCTCATATCTACCCCAAACTGCCAAGATGGTCTTAAATACACATCCACCCCCAATGTCCATGGAGAGAGATTCTATGATAAAGGACAAGACATTGGGGCTCCCAGCTGGGAACCAGGGAGGAAGCTTCCATCCACCCCCACTGGTTCTCTCTTCTCTCTGTTATAAACGACCCCAGGCTCAGTTCCCAAGACTAGTGTCTCAAAGACTTTTTACTAAAGAGGTTGAAGTGCGTCCTTTCCATTCTCAGGAGAAGTTGACACACCTCCTTTGGGGGAGAGTACCCTGAGCAAAGAAGCCAGAGCAAGCTTTATCTTAGTAATTGCCTAACTCCTTCCTCCCTTCTGGATCAGGATTGGTCCTAATCCTTCTGGGTTACAATCTTCCTTATATGCCTCACCCCCAACATACGTTATGTGCCTAGAACTGTGTTATCACTCCCTGCCCTGGACAGAGAAGTCAGCCTGTCTGTGCTGATGTTTTATCTACTCATGTGGAAACGCGACTCTTTCAGTTCTCACATCTCGGACTCTCTCACTGTTCTGTCTTCCTCTGTCTCTGTTTTTCTCTCCTCCCCCAGCCTCACTCTCTCCTCTCCCTCTCTTTCATTCTCTCTGTCCCTGCCCCCACTTCCTCGTCCACTTCCCTTCCCCTACCCCTCATCTGCCGAAGGCCCTTCCTCTTCCCCAAAAGCCTTCATATTTCCATTTTCTGGAGATGAGCTAAACCTCCACCTCCAGGCAGGAGTCTAGACAGGCCCAGGCCAGTCCTCCCAACAACCAGGGTTGCCCCCTCCCCTAAAAGGGGGGGTAGGGCCACAGCCCTAACTCCAGGCTCTCCTCCTCCTCCTCCCCCAGGCCTCTATGACCCACCCTCCCTCTCAGCCCTGCCCAGCTCCCAGGTGGCCTCTGGACACAATGTGACCCTGCAGTGCCAGTCAGAGGACGGGAATGACAGATTTGCCCTGTACAAGGATGGAGAACAGATCACCCAAGGCAGGGCCCAGCCCCATGGAAGGGGGTCTCTGGCCAACTTCTCCATCCCTGCTGTGAGCGCTATCCATGGAAGGACTTACCAATGCTACATCTTTCATAGCTACCGCCCTTATGAGTGGTCAGCCCCCAGCAACCCCCTGGTACTCAGGGTCACAGGTGAGGGAGCCCAGCCCACCCCATGCCTCCTATCCCTCCTAAGCTCCTTCACTGGCCCTGGGGCACCTCCCTACTTGCACAAGGGATCCCAGGGGCCAGGAGAGCTGGGGGAAGAGGAGGCTCAGAGGGAGGGGCGGAGAGCCTGGGTCATGGGTCCTACTCGGAGAATGCAGAGAGTCAGACTTCTCCTGCCGGGCCCCTCTAGACACCCTCACCATCTGCCACCTCTCCAGTTATGTTGGTCCCACAGACAGACAATATGTCTACTAGGTCCCAGGAAAGGGGGTGAGGAGGTCAGAGGAGGAGCCAAGAGGAGGCCAGAGCAGGCCTGGGGTGTAGACAGTGAGGAGGGGGGAGGTCAAACACCACCAAGCCCCTCACCCTTCTCTTCCCTCTGTATCCCTTCCCTGCCTCCAAAGCTCAGACAGGAGCTAGAAGAGGGGTCAGAAGAATCATGGAATCACCAAATCTCACAAGTGGAAGGGCCAGGAGAGGTCACTGAGCACACATACCCATTTAACAGATGCAAAAGTGAGGCCCAGAGAAGGGAGGGACTTGCCCAACCGTCCACACCAGCATATCTGGGCACATCTGGGGCTCCCTGCAGAGCATTCAGGCCTCTCTGGGGGCCCCTAACCAGCCCCTAACCCTGCCCCCTTCCTCATCCCCAGGGACTTTCTCTCCAAACCCTGAATCTGGGAACACACAGTTTGGTGAGTAACTGGAGCATCCCCAACAGAGAGGGGAGGGAGGCAGGGTCTTCCAGCCCATCCAAGACCCCCTCATCTCCCACCACATCCCCCACAGCACCTTGTGATTCTTCTTTTCCTACCTCCAGGCCTTTGTCCAGGCTCTCCCCCCTGCCAGGCATGCCCTCCCTCCTCACCTCCTCCTCTTACAATGCAGAGATCCCACCCAGGCTGACCTTAGGAGCCTTGTCCTAAAGAAGCCTCTCCTGTCCACCTCCCCAGTTGTTAACCTTCCCACTCCTCAGATGAATGTCCCCCAGGATAGCAGGACAACAGGAGCTACCTCTATTTTCTCATTTATCCTATGTGTGTGACCTAGCTCTGGGCCTGGGCCAGAGGGAGTGCTTAATAAGGGTCTGAAGACCTCAATTACTGAACAAGACTGGGGGCTCCCTGAAGACCGGCTCTGTCCCCTCCTCTCACCCTGGGGGCTCCCCATTGACACTTCCTCACATGTTCAAGTCATCTCCCACCTCCAGGCCTTTGTATCAGCTGTGCCCAATGCCTGCAATTCTCCAGCCCTTATTTCCCTCTTCCCTCTAATACTCTGCTCACTCTCCCCTTCTGGGAAGAGACCTTCCTTCGTGCTGCCCTCCTTCCCTCCTACCAGGGCCTGCCCTCAGACATCACCTGCTCTGTGGGGACCGGGACAATTTCAGGTCTTCTGCCAGTGAGAATCCAAGCTGCCCGAGGGCAGGGACTGTTATTAAATGTAAACAGCAAATGCCTGTGGGTACCAAGATTAATAGCAACCAGCTTATGGAAAGCCCTTTAAATGCTCTACAATTATTAGCTCAGTGGATCCTCACAACAGCCCTGGGAGGCAGCCACTGTTATTACCCCATTTTCCAGATGAGAAAACTGAGGCTGAGAGAGGGGAGGGGACCTGACCAGGGTCACACAGAGAGGAAGTGTCTTAGGTGGGATCTGAATTCGGCTCTTTCTCACCACAAATTTCATGCTCCACCCACTCCACCAAGCTCTGACCAGAACTTCAGGAGATGAAGAAGGAGAGGGAGGAGAGGAAGTGAGGACAAAGGGAAGGTGCCAGGAAAGGGACCTGGCTATGACTCAGGGCCCTGCAGAGGAAGCACTGGGGGGAAGGGTGGGGGGAGGCTGCGTCAGCTCCTCTCTCAGGCTTCTCTCCCCCAGACCCCAGCCCTCACCCCCACACTCAGGCTCCCAGCCAGGGAGTTACCCGGGGCAAGGGCTGGGCTGGGGCTGAGGAGTCTGTGCCTCCCTTGATGGGGCCAGAGATCAGGGAGCTCTTTCCCCCTCCCAGACTCTGCTCCCCAGGATTACACCGTGGGCAACCTCATCCGCCTCAGCCTGGCTGGGATGGTTCTCCTCCTCCTGGGAGTCCTCCTGGTTGATGCCAGGCACAGCCTCAGGGGACCACTGAGCAGGAACTCCAGGTACCCCTGACAGATGGGAAGACAGAGCTGGGGTTCCTTCAATGTGTGCATCCCAAGGACTCATTAAGGCACTGAGTTCTGCCTGCTCCAGACAGAGGGCAGGGCCCTGCCTTCCCTACAACTGACCCTGGCCCAGTTCATAATGCCCAGCCTTTCCCTGGCCTGGCGTCGTACTGCCCAGCCTTTCCCTCAGGCCCCAGCTCACAATGCCCAGCCTTTGCCCCAGGCCTCCCCCCCTTCCCCACTGCTATTGCTCTGACCCCACACACACACTCCCTCCCTCCTCCCCACTTCAGTCCCTTCCACCCTCCCAGCAGAGACGATCACTGAGGACATCTCTCAGTGATCAAAGAGGAAAAATATTCCCCCAGAATTCTAAAGCCTCTCAGGAGTCATAGAAACCTGTAGGCTTTATGATTTCCTCCATCAGTGATCATTATTGTGTGTGTGTGTGTGTGTGTGTGTGTGTGTGTGTGTACACGTGTACCAGGCCCCGCTGCTTCCTTCTCTCCCAAATCAGACTCCCCACATCCCAGGACAACCTTCCCTGAGATGGCAGGGCCTACAAACACTGTCTCCTACCAGGCCTTCCTTGAGTGTGGTCCCTGAAGTTGTACACCCTGCTAATTAATTAATATACAAGAGCACCTTTACTCCTTGGGGTTCCTGAAGCTACCAGAGTCAACCTTTCTTTGGATGAATGTAAATAAATCATCCCTGCTTGCTGGAGAGCACACACCTGCATAAATACCTGTACCTGGCCATCAGGATCACCTGGGGCCTTTTCTGTCAGACACTAAAGGTCCCCCCCCACATCACCACCACCACTGCCCCTAGAGGTGTACCCTGGATTCCAAGATCCAATTGTATGGATGCTCTCCTCAAAGGCCAACATTTTGCTCCAAGCCTCTTGTCTAAGTGACATGTGAGTGGTGTTAGTGAGAGGGGGAGAGAAGACACATCTGCTCTTCTGGCATCCAGCTTCTACAGAAAAGGTGCACCATTCTAACCTCTCTTCAGGTCCCTGTAAGGAAATAAAGACTCAGAGCAGAAGCTGACGGGAGAGGATCTGGCCATCTCCCTCACGTCCCTATCCTAAGCTCACCACACTTGGGGTTTGGGGGAATTTCTCCTTGGGTCAGACCTAGGACTCTTTCTTCTGGTAAAGCTGGGCTCCCTCTTTCACAAAGGGAGAAAGAGCTCCTTCGGTCTGTTGTCTGCTATATATCCTCTCTTGCATACCTTCTCTGAGTTCTGTTTTCTATAGACCCGGATAAATGGGTTTCTTTGCTATGGGCTGTGTCTGTTCATTGTAGAATTGGCATCTGGTGGTGTTGCCCGCAACCAGATTGTACACCGAATGGAGAGGCGTGAAATAACTTATGACATGGGCCAGGCGGAGTAGAATTACTGACTCAGTTTATTCATCTGAGGGCACAGAATATATGGGGAAGATCTAGCCTAACTTCAAAGAGTCCTCCCCTTGAGATACTCCCCAGAACATCTGCTGAGAATGTGACAATTATGAATTCCCTCCTTATCAGGGTTCCTAGATTGGGCTGTAGATTCCAAGGTTTTCCAAGGCACCTTGGTGCCACCTGCACAGAGGAGTGAATATGTAAATCTAAGGTTCAAAGAGTGAGAAGGAATGTCTCAGCGACCTCTTAATCAGGAAGGAATTGGACAGCCATGCCACTTAATCAGCAAGCCCTTTTGGGTAAAAGCCTGGGCAGAGGTCAAACTCTGCCTTGGATCTTAAACCCTTATCAGACTCTTAAGATCGGCGCTCAACATGATGGGAAGGGAGCCAAGCCTCAGATAGATGGCTTAGGGCTCTCCCTCCACTTCAGGACTGCTTCAAACTAAAAGTCATTTCCTCCGGACTAATAATGTGTAAGGGAAGAGGTAGATATAACTTGGGCCCAGTTCCCCATCTTTCTGAGGGGATCAGAGAAGCCTCTGGCCCCAGCCTCCCTCTTGCCCTCCTGGCAGGAATCAAAGTCTCCCTTGTAAAAGTGAGGTGGGAGGGACGAGGTGCCAAAGGGGTCTATTTTTGCCTCCCTGTGAGCCACATCTAGACAGATTCTTAAGGACATTCATTATGTTCTTGGGCAGAACAAAGAGTACACACCAAATGATTCCATAGGCCAACACTATTAGGGAGCATCACCTGGGCTCTCACTCCCTCTGCTTCCAACATGAAAAATGGATTCCAGGATCTAGGAATGCCAAGGAGATAACCAGGGGCAAACGGTGATGTACAGACAAGGATAGAAAGGGTAAAGGTGAGAACATCTGAGAGGGAAGGTGCTAGCATCAGGGGATCAGGAAAGAGTTTGATGGGCAGCTAAAATTGGAAACTATGTAGCATGATTGGAATCCTATTACTTCATTGGCCAACAGTTTGATGGGATTTTAGAGGAGTCTTGTAAACCATGGAGCAGATGTTAGGGAATCGGTCCTGCGTACCTCTTGGACACGTCATTGAGAATTCTCCCTTTGAAGCAAAATTTCCATGGCAGAACACGTTTGTGAGATGACTCAGTGCACAGTAGGACTACATAATGTCATAGTGCCGACACCAGCCAAACTTTGAAGCAATACCAACCTCCAGACTGACTCCGCAACCACAACTTCTTTAGCCATTCCCCAATTTATAGCAATCCCTTCAATTTCCAGTTCTTTGCCACCACAAAGAGAGCTTCTTTAAAAAAAATTTTAAATTTTTAAAAGCTGCTATAAATATTTTAAAACATATAGTTTCTATTCCTTTTTCCCTGATTACCTTGGTAAACAGACCTAACACTACTATTGCTGGGACAAAGGGTATGCACATTTTGATGACTTTGGGGGCATAATTCAAGATTTCCCTCCAAAATGGTTGGATCAATTCACAACTCCAACAACAACGTGTTAGTGTCCCCATTTTTCCACATACCCTCCAACATTTGTCATTTTCCCTTCTATCATTTTAAGACAGTCTGATAGGTCTAAAATGATACCTCAAAACTGTTTTAATTCACATTTCTCTAAACCATGATTTAAAGCATTTTTAAAATATGACCATATATAGTTCTGATTTCTTTTTCAAAAAAATGCCTGTTCGTATCCTTTGATCGTTTATCAATCACTCAACCACAATCTACACACCCATCAAAAAGTCCCTCCCTTTTCTTCTGCCCCCACTTTCCTCAACCTTAATCCATACATTCTCCTCTACCCTGTCCCGCAGTTTTCTTGCCTCTCTACAAGTTCAGAAGACTTCTTCACCCCTCCACATGTACACTTTCTTTCCTCTTCAACCCAGATGAGAGTAAATTTCCAACATTACCAGTCCTCCACCCCAACCTGCTTCCTCTGCATTAGTGCTTTCTTTCACACTCCATTTTTATGAGATGATTGCTCCTTTTTACCTTTTCCATCCAATTTTTCAGAATTACCCCATCATACATAACTCAGCCTCAACCTTTCTTCCACATTCCCTTAGTAATGAAGACAGTTTTAAGAATGCTGGAAACATTTTCATATATATGCATGTATATATATATAAGTAGATAATGCAACCTTAATGAGTACCCTATTGTCTTTAATGTATTCCTTATTATTTTTACTAGTATTTCTTTTTTTTCCCAATTAAATGTAAAGACAATTTTCAACATTCATTTTTTGAAAGATTTTGTGTTCCAAATTTTTCCTTCCCTTCTTCTCCCCACTCCCCAAAACTGCAAGCAATCTGATATAGATTATATTTCTACAATGATGTAAAACATGTTTCCACATTAGTCATCTTGTGAAAGGAGAATGAGAACAAAAGGGGAAAAGCACAAGAAAGGAAAAACAAAATAAAAAGAGAAAATACTATGCTTCGATCTGCATTCAGACTTCATCAGTTTATTCTCTGGATGTGGATAGCATTTTCCATCATGTGTCTTTTGGAATTGGCTTGGATCATTATATTGCTGAGAAGAACTAAGTCTATAAAAGTTGGTCATCACATGATGTTGTTGTTACTGTATACAATATCCTCCTGGTTCTGCTCATTTAATTCAGCATTAGCTCATGTATGTCTTTCCAGGATTTTCTGAAACCTGCCTGCTAATCATTTCTTATACCACAATAGCATTCCATTACATTCACATTCCATGACTTGTTCAACCATTCCACAATGGATGGTCATCCCCTCAATTTCCAATTGTTTGCCACCACAAAAAAGCCGCTACTAATATTTTTGTACACATAAGTCCTTTTCCCTTTCTTATGGTCTCTTTGGGATACAGACCCAGCAGTCGTATTGCTATACCAACAAGTATACACAGTTTGTCCTTTGGGCATAGTTCCAAAGTGCTCTCCAGAATGGTTGAATCAGTTCAAAACTCTACCAGCAATGCATTAGGGTCCCAATTTTCCCACATCTCTTCAACATTTATCACGTTCCTTTTCTGTCATATTAGCCAATCTGATAGGTGTGAGGTGACAGCTCAGAGTTGTTTGAATTTGCATTTCTCAAATCAATAGTGATTTAGAACATTTTTTCATAAAACTATGGATAGCTTATATATCGTCATCAGAAAACTGTCTGTTCATATCCTTTGACCATTTATCAATTGGGGGATGACTTGTAGTCTCACAAATTTGACTCTACATATTTGAGAAGTAAGGCCTTTAGCAGAGACACTTGCTGTAAAAATTGTTTCCCAGCATTCTGTTTTCCTCCTAATCATGGTTGCATTGCTTTTGTTTGCACAAAAGCTTTTTAGTTTAATGTAATCAAGATTATCCATTTTGCTTTTCATAATGTTCTCTATCTCTTCTTTGATCTTAAATTCTTCCCTTTTCCATAGATCTAACTGGTAAACTATTCTTTGCTCTCCTAGTTTGCTTGTGGTATCATCCTTTATGACTAAATCATGGATCCATTTTAACCTTTTCCTGTTAGATGGTGTGAGACGTTGCTCTATACCTAGTTTTTGCCATATGATCTTCCAGTGTTTCCAGAAGTTTTTGTCAAATACTGAGTTCTTATCCCAGAAGTTGAAGTCCTTGGGTTTATCAAACAATAGATTATTATAGCCATGGACTACAGTACCTTGTGTACCTAATCTATTCCACTGATCCACCGCTCTATTTTTTAGCCAGTACCAAATAATTTTGATGATCGCCACTTTGCAATATAGTTTTAGATCTGGTACTGCTAAGCCACATTCCTTTGCATTTTGTTTCCACTAATTCCCTTGATACTCTTGACCTTTTGTCCATCCAGTTTATTTTATGTTTTCTAGCCCTATAAGTTAATTTTTTGGTAGTTTGATTGGTATGGCACTGAATAAGTATATTAATTTAGGAAGAATTTTTATTTTTTTATGAGTTCAACCTATTCATGGGCCACTGATACTTTTCCAATTATTGAGATCTGACTTTGTTTGTATGGAAAGTGTTTTAGAATTGTATTCATACAATTCCTGGATTTGTCTGGTCAGGTACACTCAAGTATATTCATATTGTTATTTTAAGGGGAATTTCTTTTTCTATCTCTTGCTGCTAGGCATTGTTGGCAATATAGAGAAATGCTGGTGATTGATGTGAGTTTATTTTATATCCTGCAATTTTGCTAAGGTTGTTCATTATCTCAATGAGAGTTTTAGTTAATTCCCTAGCATTCTCTAAGTATACCATCATATCATCTGAAAAAACGGATAATTTTGTTTCCTCATTGCCTGTTCTAATTCCTTAAATTTCATTCTCTTCTCCCATTGCTGAAGCTAACATTTTTAGTACAATATTGAACAATAGTTTCCTTGTTTCACCCTTGATCTTATTGAAAAGGCTTCTCACTTATTCCCATTACAGATAATGCTTGCTGATGGCTTTAGATAGATACTACTTATCATTTTAAGGAAAGCTCCATTTGTTCCTGTGTTCTTTCCTTATATTTCTTCTGGATCTTTTATATTGAATTTTCTGCTGAGTTCTGGTCTTTTTGTTACGAATCCCTGAAAGTCTTTCAGTTCATCAAATATTTATTTTTTTCCACTCAGGACTGTACTCAACTTTGTTGGGTAAGTTCTTGGATACAGCCCAAGCTCTTTTGAAATACAATGTGCCAAGACCTACAGTCCTTTAGTGTAGAAGCTACTATGTCTTATGAAATCCTGGCTGTATTTCCACAATATTTAAATTGGGTTTTTCCTGTTGCTTGAAATATTTTCTCTGTAACCTGAGAGTTTTGAAAGTTGACCATGACGTTTCTGTGAGATTTCTTCCTGCGATCTCTTTCACATGGATGGTACATTTTTTTTCTATTTCTACTTCTTTACGTTCTTATTCTAAAACTTTAGGGCAATTTTCCCTAATTTCTGGTAATGCTATATCTAGATTCTTTTTTTTTACATGACTTTCAGGTAGTCTGACAATTTTTATATTGTCTCTGCTTACTCTCTTCTCTAGATAAGTTGTTTTCTGGAGGTATTTCAGATTCTCTACTTTTTTTCCCTAGTTTTAGTATTTCTTGATGTCTTATAACATCATTCAATTCCTCTTGCCCAATTCTACTTTTCAAGGAGTTATTTTCTTCCCTAAGATTTTGTACCACTTTTTCTAATTGGTTAATTTCCTTTTCATAATTTTCTTGGATTGCTTTTAATTCTTTTCCTGATTTTTCCTCCTTCTCTCTCATTTAATTTTTTAATTCCTTTGTAAGTTCTTCCAGGAGGTCTTTTGGACCTGTGACCATCTGAAATTACTCTCTGGGGTAGGAATGCCTGGTTTTGGTTTTGGTTTTTTTACATCTGCCCCAAACACTTTATTTATAAATTGCTAACAAAAGGAAATGTATCTTTGGGTTCTGATAGCATATTAACACAGACAATTGTATTGACCAGAGTTTGGTTGTTTCTTTGCCTTTCTTTGTAAGCCCAGTTCTTAACAGTGTCTGGCACAAAATAGGCACTTAATAAATACTAGTTGATTGATGGCCTTATTTTGCATTTTTTGTCATTTAGCATGTTCTTTTGATTCTACCTTGACCTCCTATATTTCTCTGATTTTTAAAATTTTATTAATAAAATTAAAGTTAATTTTTTTTAGGCGATTGGGGTTAAGTGACTTGCCCTGAGTCACACAGCAAGTAAGTGTCAAGTGTTAGGTCTGAGTCCAGATTTGAACCCAGGTCCTCCTAACTTCCAGGCCTGTGCTCTATCCACTGCGCCACCTAGCTGCCCTCTGATTTCTTTTTTTAACTTTATGGATTTATTTTGATTTATCAACATTCTCTTCCATAACCTTCTGAGTTTTAAATTTTTCTTCCCCTCCCTCTGCACCTTCCTCCCCAAAACTGCATGCAATCTGATATAGGCTATACATACACAAAGAATGGCTGTTTTTAACCTCTCTATCTTCCTCTGACTATGAACCCAGATCTTCTACAGCAAAGCCGCTATCTATGGTTGGGTTCTTTTTCCTTTGTGTGCTCATTTTAATTTTTATTTTGCCTCATTTAATTTTTACAGCTTATGATTATAATCAAGTTTTAATCCTGAGTTGTGGGTCATGTTACCCTAGGACTAAGGTCCTCTTCATTGTTATGTTCTGAATTCTGTCTGGGGGCTCAACCTCAGGGACTCCTTTTCTCCCCTAAGTCACAGTTAGGGTCCCCAGCCCCAAAAATATTCTTGCTCCCTGTGCGACCACACTCACTAGTTGTGTGCTCACTTCCCCTCACCCTCAGCCACAGCCCAGGATAACTTCCCATCAGCACTGTGCCAGTGCTGGCCTGGCTACTGGAAACTATAAGGAGTCCTTCTATCTGAGGCACTCCTTCAGTTCTGCTCTGACCTTCCTCCTTGATGTTGACATCTGATTCTTGAACCAAGGCACCCAAAGCACCCTCCCCATGGGGCAATCAACAGGAAACCACAGTGAGCAAGGAGCTGGAAAGCCTTCTCAGTGAAACTGGACCCTGAGGGACCCAGAGCAGAGCCGACCTTGGTCACATCCTCAGCCTCACACTCTGCCTGATCTACCACTGGGCACCATCATGACTCCCATCCTCTCCGCCCTGGTGAGCCTCGGTGAGTCCTGGGGTGGGAGGACTCCCAGAGTCAAAGGGACTTTAGGTACCATGGACATGAGATACACACCCAGTTTGGGAGAGGAATACCTTTGGCCCAGAGAGGAGGGGCCAGTCTGAGGTCACCCAGCCAGAAGGGGAGGGGGGAGAAGCTGGAGCTCTTAGAGGAGTCTTCTGGCATCCAGCCCCTTTCACTCACTCGAGCCCTAAGCCCAGGCTCTGGGCCTCTGTCTCCTTCCTCTGGGGGTGTTGGGTGGGGAGGATGTGGGGACCTGGGAGTAACCAGGGTCTTCTCTACCAGGGCTGTGTCTGGGCCAGAGGATGAAGGCAGAGGCAGGTGAGTCCTTCCCCCCAACACACCCCCTTCCCAGAGCAGACAGCTGCCCCCAGGAGAGGGAGGGGGGAGGTCTGGTCAGGGCTGAAAGGTTTAAAGTGAGGGGACGCAGCATGGGGGAACCACAGAAGGGGGTGCCCTGGAACTGACAGCTCTCATTCACTTCCAGACACACTCCCCAGACCCTCCCTCAAAGCAGAGAACGGCCCTTTGGTGCCACTGGGGACAAGTGTGACCCTCAGGTGCCGGGGGGGATGGGAAGGTGATGAGTACCGTCTGGAGAAACAGGAGGAATATGGAAGGAAAAGGACCGTGGATGTGAAATCAAATGAAATGGAGGGCGAGTTTCACATCCCATCAGTGACAGCAAAAGATGCAGGGACCTACTACTGCCTCTACAAACACTCATCTCACTGGTCAGATCACAGTGACCCCCTGCAGCTGGTGGTGACAGGTGAGGAATCCACCCACACACACACACCAGGCCCAGGCCCTTCAGGCAGGGCTGGCTCTGGGTCCCAGCAGCCCCTAAGCTCCTCCCCAGCCCAGCCTGGCCCCAAGCATCCCTCTGCCTCTGCCCTTCCTGTCCTCTCCCCTGTCTCTGCCTCTGCTCTCCCTCTGGGGCTAGAGGTGGGGGAAGGGAATCAGCATTTATACAGCACCTACTGTGTGCCAAGCACTTTACAGGCATTATCTCCTTTGGTCCTCACAGCACCTCTGTGAGGTAGGTGCTACGTGATCCCAATCTTACAGTGGGGGAAACTGAGGTGAAAGACAGGAAGTGACTTGCCCAGAATCACACAGCTGACAAGTGTCTAAGGCTAGATTCGAACTCAGGTCTTCCTGACTCCAGGCCCATGGCTTTATCCTCTGCACCACCAGCTGCCTCAGTCAGAGCCCATCTGGGTGCCAGAGAGGAGACGGGAGGCTCAGCTTGGGTCTCAGATCACCAGACAGAGCTGGGAGCTCCCTATGCAGAGGGCACAGAGCTGATGGGGCATCTCCCCCTCCCAGCCCTGACCCTGCCAAAGCCAGGAGAGGGAGGCCAGGGTGGACCTGCTGCTGCTCTCTCCCCTCTCTCATTCTCAGGCCTAGGCACAGGGAGGGGAGGGGAGGGGTGTCTCCTCTGTGTATCCCCAAGGATTTTCTGTACAGGAAGGTTTAGGAGGTGAGGATGGAAGTGAAGCAGAAACCTCACTCAAGCCTCCTACTCTCCTTCCCACACCTGCCCCAGGGACCTTCCAGGGTCCAGGATGAGAGCCAGGCTCTGTTTTGGGGAGCTCATATCTACCCCAAACTGCAGAGATGTGTCTTAAATGTGCCTCCACCCCAGTTGTCCACGGAGAGAGATTCTAGGAGAAAGGACCAGGGATTGGGGCTCCCAGCCCCGGATCAGGGAGGATGCCTTCATCTGCCCCCACTAGTTTCTCTCTTCTCTTTGACTGTCTCATTGTTCTGTCTTCCTCTGTCTCTGTTTCTCTCTCCTCTTCCAGCCTCAATCTCTCCTCTCCCTCTCTTTCATTCTCTCTCCCCCTCCCCACTTTTCTTTTTTCACCCAGAGCTGTCCAGGTCCTTCCTCTCCCCCAAAAGCTGTGATATTTCCTTTTCTCCAGAGATGACCTAAACCTCCACCCCCAGGCAGGGGTCTAGGCAGACCCAGGCCAGTCATCCCACGAGTGAAGTCTGCCCCCTCCCCTAAAGGGGGAGGGGTGACAGCCTTGACTCTGGACTTTCTTCTTTCTCCAGGGCCCTATGAGGCACCTTCCCTCTCAGCCCTGCCCAGCTCCACGGTGGCCTCAGGACACAATGTGACCTTCCTGTGTCAGTCACAGCGATGGTATGACAGGTCTGCCCTGTACAAGGATGGAGAACAGATCACACAAGGCAGGGCCCAGTACCATCTAAGGGGGTCTCTGGCCAACTTCTCCATCCCTGCTGTGTATTCTACACACAGAGGGACTTACCGATGCTACACCTTTTACAGCTACTTGCCTTATCTGTGGTCAGTCCCCAGTAGCCCCCTGGTGCTCTGGGTCACAGGTGAGGGAACCCAGCCCCATCCCAATCCTCCCATCCCTCCTAAGCTCTGTCACTGACCCTGGAGCACCTCCCTAACTGCCCAGAGGACCACAGGGGCCAGGAGGGCTGGGGAAGAGGAGGCTCCGAGGGAGTGGATGGAGAGCCTGGGACATGGGTCCTGCTCTGAGAATGCAGCCAGTCAGACCTCTCCTGCCGGGCCCCTCTAGACACCCAACCATCTGCCACCTCTCCAGTTATGTTGGTCCTACAAACAGACAATATGTCTACTAGGTCCCAGGAAAGGGGTTGAAGAGGGGGAGCCAAGAGGAGGCCAGAGCAGGCCTGCAGTATAGACAGTGGGGAGGGGGGAAGTTAAACACACCCAAGCCCCTCACCCTTCTATCTCAGTTCCAGGCACCTCAAAGGATGCTCACCTCCCCAAAAACCCTGGAAATCCCCAAGCTCTGACATCTACCCCACCCAGTGAGTAACTAGTTACCCTCAGGACAGGGTGAAGGTCTCTCTCCCTTATTACTTTCCACCTCCTTTCTAGGCCAGGGCTGAGTCTCCTCCTTTCTCAGAAAAACCAAGTCATGAAGGGACTAGAGGTAAGGGACAGGGTCAAGGAAAATTCCAGCCTGGGGAAGAAGGAAGAACATGGCTGGTTAGGAAGGAGCTAGGGAGGTGAGGAGCAGAGATGGACAGAGAAGCCCCCACCCTTCTGCTTTCTCTCCCCTTCCACAGGAGCCCCCATAGCCTCCCACCCCTCACCCACACAGCCATAGCTGGGAGTATGGGGGAGGGAGGCTCTGCTTCTCCAGTCCCTGGCTGCCCCAGTGATGAGGGAGGGGCCTCTCAGATACTCTCACTCCAATTCCTCTCGGCTGGAAGCACCACAGTGACCTCCTCAGCCCTCATTCATCCTCTGCCCAACACTGCCTCTCACTTATGCCTCGGAGCCTCAGGCACAGAGGGAACCTCAGGGCCCTGGGGACAGCCAACAAGAGGGCCCTGAGAATTCAAAGGGCCCCTCCCTCTCACCCCAGCAACTACCTTCTTCTTCCTGTGTCCCTCCTCTGCCCCCACAGCCCAGACAGGAGCTAGAAGAGGGGTCAAAAGAATCATGGAATCATCAGATCTCACAAGTGGACAGCCCTGGAGAGGTTACTGAGCACACACACCCATTTAACAGATGCAAAAGTGAGGCTCAGAGAAGGGAGGGACTTGCTCAACCTCCCACACCAGCACATCTGGGCAGATCTGGCGCTCCCCACAGACCCTCCTGGCCTCTCTGGGCTCCCCTGTCCAGCCCCTAACCCTGCCCCCTTCCTCATCCCCCAGGGACCTTCTCTCCAAGCCCTGAATCTGGGAACACACAGTTTAGTGAGTAACTGGAGCCGTCCCAACAGAGAGAGGAGGGAGGCAGGGGATGGATGTCCAGTCAGGGTCTGCCCGCCCCATGCAGGGCCCCCCCTCATTTCCCACCAGTTCCCCCCATAGCACCTTATTATTCTCCTTTTCCCATCTCCAGGCCTTTGTCCAGGCTATCCCCTCTACCTGGCATGCCCTCCCTCCTCACCTCCTCCTCTTACAATGCAGAGATCCCACCCAGGCTGAGCTTAGGAGCGTTGTCCTAAAGAAGCCTCTCCTGTCCCCCTCCCCAGTTGTTAACCATCCCACTCCTCAGATGATTGCCCCCCATTGATTTATTTGTGTACACGACACAGAGCATTCCAGGAGAATGTCAGCTCCCAGAGGTCAGGACCTAGCTCTGTTTTGTCTTATTTCTTGTGAGTGTGACCTAGCCCAGGGCCTGGGCCAGTGTGAGTGCTTAATAAGGGGCTATAGACCTGAATTACTGAATAAGACTGGGGGCTCCCTGAGGACCAGCTGAGTCCCCTCCCCTCACCCTGGGGGAGAGTAGGGTCCTCAGTGTCAGCGGCAGGGGAGACCTGGGACCATTGGTGTTGACAGTGAAGACCTCACTGGTCTCCTTTGGGGAGGGGGCGCTTTCTGTCCAGTGAGAAGGGTGGAGCAGTGAGCCAGGACAGGAAGTCTCTGCATTGAGGTTGGGGAAGGAGAAGGCTGGCTGAGGGGGAGGAGGAGACCAGAGGCTGCCCCAGCCCCTCAGGCCTCTCCCCCTCCCTCCCCAGGCAGGGAGAAACAGGAATGTTCTGCTGAGGGAGGAGGAGCTGGGCTGGGACCAGGGTCTGAGCTCTAGGGGGGGACAAGACCCCTGCTCACACTCGGGGCTGGGAGGCCTGGCAAGAAGGCCCACGTGTCACAGACAAACTCTGATTCCCCAGATGCTGCTCCCCTGGATTACACCACAGGCAATGTGGTCCGCCTCATCTTGGCGGGGCTGGTCCTCATCATCCTGGGCGTCCTGATGACTGAGGCCTGGCACAGCCTGGGGGGGCACCAAGGAGCAGCCCAGGGAGCCCTGGCCTGAGCATCCTGGCCACACCCGACGACCAGGCAGAGGGAAAGAAGGAATGGATGAATGAATGAGGGAGGGAGGGAGGGAGTGGGTGAGTGAATGAGTGAATGAATGAGTGAGTGAGTGAGTGAATGAGTGAGTGGATGAATGAATGAGTGAGTGAGTGAATGAAGGAGTGGGTGAGTGAGTGAATTGAGTGAGTGAGTGAATGAGTGAATGAATGAATGAGTGAGTGAATGAGTGAGTGAATGAATGAGTCAGTGAGTGAATGAGTGAGTAGATGAAAGAGTGGGTGAGTGAGTAAATGAGTGAGTGAGTGAATAACTGAGTGAGTGAATGAGTGAGTGAATGAATAAGTGAATGAATGAGTGAGTTAGTGAGTGAATGAGTGAGTGAATTGAGTGAGTGAGTGAATGAATGAGTGAATGAGTGAGTGAGTGAATGAATGACTGAATCCACTTTTTGCACATGTAAGGAGTGGAGACTACAGACTGGGTACTGTGTTAAGTACAAAGATGAAATATTAAAAGAGCAAAAGAGACAGAGAGAGATGAGAAAGAGAGTACGTGTGGGGGCTCCTGGCCTCTAGGAGCTTACACTTTAACGGGGCTGACCACACCTAGAGGGGAGAGTGTTTCCTTCTGGGGAGGGCATAAGGGGGCAGAGAGGCACGAGGGGGAGGCATGTGCAGCCCCAGGCAGGGACTGAGGGGCCTGTGGAAGCCCAAGTCAGTCCATCCATCAATCTAGAAGCGTGGCTTAGGCCCCTCCAGGGTCGCAGGTTCTGGACCAAGTGCTGGATGGGCCTGCTCTCAGGGAGGGGTGCTGCCACCTCCAGGGAGGGGAAGGGGCCTGGCTGGCCCACCCTTCCCCTCTTCCTCCCACTGCCCCATCTGGCCCCCCAGGGGGGATGTTCCTGGAAAACCAAGCCATCAATTCAAGCAAAGGTCAAAATGTCCCCCAAAGAGGACGTGAAAAAAACACCGAGGAAGGGAGAGAGCTCAGAACTGGGGCAGCACCCTGCACCCCTAGGCTCTCGGGATCACCGTCACCATGGCTGTGCAGGGGCAGAGCTGGGGCTGGGGGAAGGTCCTCCTGGGAAGCAGGGAGGCCTGTCTGGGGAGAGGACCTGGGGGACAAGAAGGCCTGAGCCCCAAACACGCCAGGAGGAAGGCCTGGGGGCCGGGGCTGGCACAGGGGCAGCTTCCAGCCATCTGGCCTTGCGGCAGACACGCAGGCACCAGCAGGAGGGGGCCTTGGGGAAGAGAGGCTGGGGGACCGATGTGCAACCACGCCGTCTTTGCAGAGGGGCCATGACAGATCACTGAAATCCCTCAGGGTCTCAGCCTCTCTTGGAAAGTGGGGGTGCCATTGTCAGCCCTCCCTAGTTCCCAGGACTGTGGAAAGGAAAACATTGTGTACAGAATGAGAGGCAGCTGCGGGGATTCTGGGGAAATGGCGGAGTAGGTCACAAAATTCCAAGCTCTCCTGATTTCCTCCACAAACAAGACAAAATAGCGTCTCAGGGTCAACGTAGAGCTGCAAAAGTAAAGAAGAGTTGGGGCAGAGCAGCGTCCTCCTAGGACGACCAAAGGACAGCCAAGGAGGGACCCTGAGGGAGGAGGCTGCGCCTGAGTACAGCAAGCAACCAACTCTGGGGGGCAGCTGGGCTGGCTGCTGGGAGTGCTCACCTCACAGACGGCATGGTAGTCAGACATCTGCCCAGGCGAAGACTGAAAGACCCTCTGCTGCCCACCAGCATGTGACCAGAGAGTGCAGGAGCAGTGGGCAGCGGGCTGTGGAGTTCTTGGTTTGGGTTCCAGGCCAGAGGGGAGAATGGAAGGTTTCAGCCCCTGGATGATCCTCAGGGAGCAAAGGCATTTCCAGCATAGTGTGCAGGGGGGCCCTGGCTGTGGCTTGGAGAGCAAAGGAGTGCTGAGGCTGGCTCTGGGCGAACCTCAAAAATTAATAGCAAGAAGGACCCAAGACCAGAGGCACCATCCTCCACACTAGAGGGGATTACAACAAAGAGCTGCTAAAAATGGTAAATAAAAGTGAGCCAGCAAACGGGAAAGAACCCAGCCATAGTCAGCTACTATGGGAATAAAGAAGACCAGGGTTTGTTTTCAGGGGAGGATACCGAAGCAAAAAAAAAAAGGCTCTCCAGCCCCCCAAAAAATGGCAAGTGGCTACCTGCCCACAAAGAGGTCCAGGAAGAACTTAAAAAGGACTTGAGAAAAATCAAATAAGAGATGGAGGACAAATTAGAAAAAAAAAATAAGAACAATCCAAGAAAACCAAGAAAATTATGAAAAGTCAACCAACTGGAAAAGGAGGTCCAGAATCTTAATCAAGAAGACGACTCCTTGAAAACTAGAATTGGGCGAGAGGAAGCAAATGACGTTCTATCAAGAAATAATAAAACACTTCCGTGTCACCACTGTTATTCAATATGGTGCTAGAAACATTAGCTTTAGCAATGAGACAAGAAAAAGAAATCGAAGGCATTAGAACAGGCAAATTAGAAACAAAGCTATCACTCTTTGCAGATGATATGACGGTATATACTCAGAGAATCCTAGAGAGTCAAGCAATAATGACTTGAAATAATAAACAAATTTACAAAGTTACAGTACATAAAATAAATTCACACAAATCATCAGCATTTCTATATAGTACTAACAAAGCCCAATAGCAAGAGATAGAAAGACAAATTCCATTTGAAGTTACTATAGACCTTATAAAATATTTGTGAGTCTACCTGCAGAAACAAACTCAGGAACTATATAAACACAATTACAAAACACTTTTCACACAAATAAGTCAAATCTAGATAATTAGAAAAATATCAGTTGGTCATGGGTAGGCCAAGGTAAAATAATAAAAATGACAATTCTACCTCAATTAATTAACTTATTCAGTGGCATACCAAACTACAAAAAAAATTATTTTATAGAGCTAAAAAAAGCAATACTAAAATCCACCTGGAAGAACAAAATGTCCAGAATATCAAGGGAATTATTAAAAAGAAATGCAAGGGAAGGTGGCCTAGCTGTACCAAATCTTAAACTGCATTATAAAGCAGCAATCATCAAAACTACTTGGTACTGGGGGCCCCTAGGTGGCGCAGTAGATAAAGTACTGGCCCTAGAGTCAGGAAGACCTGAGTTCAAATCCAGCCTCAGACACTTGACACTTCCTAGCTGTGTGACCCTGGGCAAGTCACTTAGCCCTGATGGCCTCACCCAAAAAAACAAAAAAACTGCTTGGTACTGGATAAGAAATAGAGTGATGGGATCAGAGGAATAAGTTAGGCATGCAAGACACAACAGTCAATGACTATAGTAATCTATTATTTGATAAATCCAAAGACTCCAGCCTCTGGGATAAGAAATCATTATTTAGCAAAAACTGCTGGGAAAATTGGAAAACAGTACAGCAGAAACTAGGCGTAGACCAGCATCGTACACTCTATATCAAGATAAAGTCAAAATGGATACACGATTTCGATTTAAAGACTGATACTATAAGCAAACTAGGAGAGCAAGGAATAGTTTACCTATCAGATCTATGGAGAAGGGAAGAATTTGTGACCAAATAAGAGACATAGAACATTACAAAATGGAGGACTTTGATGGCATTAAATTAAAAAGGTTTTGCACAAACAAAGCCAATGTAACCAAAATTAGAGGGGAAGCAGAAAATTGGGAAATAATTTTTATACCCAGTGTCTCTGATAAAGGCTTCATTTCTAAAATATATAGAGAACTGAGTTGAATTTATAAGAATATAAGTCATTCCCCAATTGATGAATGGTCAAAGGATATGAACAGGCAGTTTTCAGAAGAAATTAAAGCCTTCTATAGTCATATAAAAAAAATGCTCTAAATCACTATTGATTAGAGAAATGCAAATCGAAACAACTCTGAGGTACCACATCACACCTATCAAGTTGGCTAACATGACAAAACAGGAAAATGATAAATGTTGAAGATGTGGGGAAATTGGAACACTGATGCATTGTCAGTGGAGTTGTAAACTGATCCACCCATTCTGTAGAACAATTTGGAACTGTGCCCAAAGGGCTATAAAATTATGCATCTTCTTTGATCCAGCAATAGCCCTTCTAAGGCTGTATCTCAAAGAGATCAGAAAAACAGGAAAAAGACCCACATGCACAAAAATATTTATAGCAGCTCTTTTTGTGGTGGCAAAGAATTGGAAATTGAGGGGATGACCATCAGTTGGGAAATGGCTAAACAAGTTGTGGTACATGAATGTAATGGAATACTATTGTGCTCTAAGAAATGATGAGCAAGTGGACTTCATGAAAATCTGGAAAGACTTACATGAACTGTTGCTAAGAGAAATGAGCAGAACTTAGTTCTTCTCAGCAATGGAAGAATCTAAGACAACTCCAGAACATTCATGATGGAAAATGCTATCCGCACACAGAGAAAGAAATATGGAGTCTGAATGCAGACAGAAGCATACCATCTGCTCTCCTTTTCTTTTGTTGTTTTGGTTTTGTTTTGTTTCTTCTTTCTCATGGTTCCTCCCATTAGTTCTAATTCTTCTTTACATCATGACTAATGTGAAAATATGCTTCATATGAATGTATAAGTAGAGCCTGTATCAGATTGCATGCTGTCTTGCAGTAATACAAAAAATAAAGAAAGAAAGAAAATTGCCCTGAAGTTTTAGAACAAGAGGGGAAAGTAAATATAGAAAAAATCCACTGGTCACCACCTAAAAGAGTTCCCAGGATGAAACACTATAGGAATATCATAGCCAAATTAAAAAAAAAAAACCCAGATTAAGGAAAAAAATATTATGAACAACAAGAAAAAAACAATTCAAATACTGCAGAGCCATAAGTAGAATCACACAAGACCTAGCAGTGGCGACACTAAAAGACCACAGGTCTTGGAACACTATATATTGAAGAGCAAAATAACTGAGGTTGCAGCCAAAAATATCCTAGCCAGGAAAGTTAAGTATAATCTGACCAAGAAAAAAAAAAAAGGATATTCAATGAACTGACAGACTCTCACAATTTTGTTGCAAAAAGACCTGAACTTACTAGAAAATTTGACATACAAGATCCAAGAGAAATATAAGGTAAACATCAAAGACCAGTTAAAAGGGATTCAATTAAGGATAAACTGTTTACTATTTGTACATGGAAATGTAAACCACATGCTTAAGACTGTCATTAGTACTACCACGCAGCTCTTTCTGTGGTGGCAAAGAATTGGAAATTGAGAGGATACCCATTAATTGGGGAATGGCTGAACAAGTTGTGGCATATGGAATACTACTGTGCTGTAAGAAATGATGAGCAGGCAGACTTCAGAAAAACCTGGAAAGACTTGTATGGTCTGATGCTGAGTGAATTGAGCAGAACCAGGAGAACATTGTACACAGTAACAACCACATTGTGCGATTACTAATACTGATAGACTTAACCCTTCCCAGCAATACAAGGATCTAAGACATCTCCGAAGGTCTCATGATGGAAAATGCTATCCACACCCAGAGAAAGAACTATGGAGTTTGAATGCAGATTGAAGCAGACTATTTACTATTTTTTTCTTCTGTTGTGTTTTGTTTCCTCTTTCTGGTCGTTCCTCCTATTGGTTCTAATTCTTACTTACAACTTCACTAATGTGAAAATATGTTTAATAGGAATGCATATGTATAGCCTATATCAGATTGCACACCATCTTGGGGAAGGAGTGGGGAGGGAGGGGGAGAAAAATTTAAAACTCAAAAGCTTAGGGAAATGATTGTTGATGAATCAAAATAAATTAATTTAAAAAATGATGAGCAAGCAAACTTCAGAAAAACATGGAAAGACTTGTATAGACTGATGCTGAGTGAAGTGAGCAGAACCAGGAGAATATTATACACAGTAATACCACATTATAAGATAACTGACTTTGATAGACTTGGCTCTTCACAGCAATGCAAGAATCTAAGACAACTCCGAAAGATTCATGACAGAAATTGCTATCCACACCCAGAGAAAGAAATATGGAGTCTGAATGCAAATGGAAACATACTATTTTCTCTCTTTTTGCTTTGTTGTTTCGCTTTATTGCTTCATTCTAGTAGTTCGTCTCATTAGTTCTAATTGTTCTTCATATCATGATTGATGGGAAAATATGCTTAACATGAATGTATATGTAGAGTCTACATCAGATTGTACACTGTCTCGCTGGGGGTGGGGTGGGAAAAAAGTGGAAGGGGGAGAAAATTTAAAACTCAAAATCTTATGGAAGTGAATGTTGGAAACTAAAAATAAATAAATTTAAATTAGAAAAAGACAAAGAAAAAAAGACTATTATTAGTAATTGTGTAGTTGGGGGGAAATGGGGGAAGAGCTGAGTATGATATGGTGATTCTAAAAAGCAAAATTGTGTAGGAAAAGGTAAAAAAAAAACAATCATCTCATACAAATGAAACATGAGAGGAAGAACTGATACAGAGGAATCAGGTGTTGGTGGAGGGCTGGTAGTGCTGGAATCTTACTCTCACCAAATCTGGGTTAAAGAGGGAATAACATATACATCTAGAAGGTTATAAAAGTGTTCTAAATTTATACAGAAAAAAGAGAGTGAGGGAACAGAATGAGAGGGTAGAGAAGGGTGCACAGATTAAGATTTAGGAGGGTGGAGGAAGAAGAAAAGGGAGGGGCCCTTAGAGGAGTGGGTAGAGCAAGGAAAAGGTGGGTAATGGGAGAGGATAAGGGAGCGAGTCTTTAAAAGAGTGTGGAATAGGGAGGTAGTGGTTAGAAGTAAACTAGAGGAGGGATAAAGTAAAAAGAAAGACTGAGGGCAATAGTGAGAAAAAATAGGATGGAGGGAAATACACAAATAGTAATTATAACTTTGAATGTGAATGGGATGAATTCACCCTTAAAAAGGAAAGGGGTAACAGAATGGATTAAAAATCAGAATCCAACAATATGCTGCTTAACACGAAACACATTTAAAAATGAGAGATACACACATTTAAAATAAAAGGCTGGAGAAGAATGTATTATCCCTCAGCCAATGCAGAAAAAGCTGGGGTAGCAATCATGATGTCAAACAAAGTCAAAGCTAAAATAGATTTCTTTAAAAGAGATAAACAGAGAAACTACATTATAATAAAAGGCACCATAGATAGTGAAGCAATATCAATACTAAACTTATATGCACCAAATACCATACCATCTAAATTTTCCAAAGAAAAGTTAATTGAATGATAATTGGAAATAGATAGTAGTACCATAATAGTGGGGGACTTTTATCTTTCCCTCTCAGAACTAGACAAATCTAAAAAAAAAAAACTAAAACAAAGAAGTTAAGGAAGTGAATAGAATTTTAGATGAGCTAGATATGATAGATATCTAGAGAGAAATGAATGGGAATAGGAAGGAATACACTTTTTTCTCAGTGGTACATGGTACCTTTACAAAGACTGACCATATATTAAGGCACAGAAATTTTATAGCTAAAATCAGAAATATGAAATACTTCTTTTAGAGACCACAATGCAATAAAAATCATATTTAATAAGGGAAACATAGAAAAAACTAATTGGAGAATTTGCAACTTAATCTTAAAGAATGTAGGGGTTAAAGAATAACAGAAGCAATCAGTAATTTCATTTTAAAGAAAATGGCAATAATGAAACAACATATCAAAACCTATGGAAAATAGCAAAAGCAGTAATCAGAGGAAAATTTATATCTCTAAGTGCTTATATCAATAAAACAAAGAAAGAGGAGACCGATGAATTGGGTATGCAATTAAAAAAACTAGAAAAAGAACAAATTAAAAATCCCCAATTAAATACTAATTTGGAAATCTTAAAAATCAAAGGTGAAGTTAATAAAATTGAGTGTAAGAAAACCATTGAATTAATAAATAAACTGGGAGTTGGTATTATGAAAAAATCAATAAAATAGATAAACCATTGGTCAATATGATTTTTAAAAAGAAGGAAACCAAATGACCAGTACCAAAAATGAAAAGCATAAATATACCACTAAAGAAGATGAAATCAAAGCAATATTTTATCCAATTAAATACCAATAAATTTAACAATTTAATTTAAGGAGGATGGAAAAATATTTACAAATATACAAACTGCTCAGATTAACAGAAAAGGAAATAGAATACCTAAATAGATCTATTTTAGAAAAAGAAATTGAACTGGCCATAAATGAGCTTCCTAAGAAAAAAAGCACCAACACCAGACAGATTTACAAGCGAATTTGGTGAAACGTTTAAAGACCAAATAATTCTAATATTAAATAAATTATTTTGAATATTAGGCAAAGAAGGATTCCTACCAAATTCCTTTTATGAAACAAATATGATACTGATACCTAAAACAAGAAACGTAAAAACAGTGAAAGAAAATTGTAGACCAATTTCATTAATGAATATGGATACAAAAATCCTAAGTAAAAGATTAGTTAAAAGATTACAACGTATTACAAATATTATACATTATGACCAAGCAGGATTCATGCCAGAAATGGAGTGATGATTTAGAATAAGGACAACTATTAACATAATTGATTATATCAATCATAAAAGTAACCAAAAATACAATATCAATAGATGCAGAAAAAGCATTTGATAAAGTACAACACTCATTTCTATCAAGAACCCTTCAAAGTAGAGGCATAAATGGACTTTTCATTAAATTGATAAGAAGTATTTATCTAAAACCATCAGTAATCACTGTTTGTAATGGGGATAAACTGGAGGCCTTCCCAGTAAGATCAGATGTGAAACAAGGATGCCCACTGTCACCAATATTATTCAGTATTATATTGGAGGCAGGCAGCTAGATGGCGCAGTGGTTAGAGCACCGGCCTTGGAGTCAGGAGGACTTGAGTTCAAATCTGGCCTCATACACTTAACACACTAGCTGTTTGACTCTGGGCACGTCACTTAACCTCAACTGCCTCACCCCCCCAAAAAAAAAAATATATATATATATATATATACACGTATATATTATATTGGAAATCCTAGCTACAGCAATAAGAGAAGAAAAAGAAATAGAAGGAATCAGAATAGGGAATGATTTTGCAGATGATATGATACATACGGAGAGAATTTGGAGCTGAATACAAAAATGAAATTGAATCTTTACAAATTTTAAAGTGAAATGAACAGAAATCTCAGCTCCTGCAAGAAGCCTTTTCCTCTCCCCCTTAATGCTAGTGACTTTGCTCTGAGATCATCTCCAGCTGATTCCATCTATACCTTGTTTGCATGGGGTCTCCCCCATGAGACAGTAACCTCCTTGTGGGCAGGGACTGTCTTTTTTGCCTTTCTCTCAATCCCCACAGCTTAGCACAGTGACTGGAACACAGTAGAGCTCAATAAATATTTCTTGGTTGGTTGATTTGGGGAAGCAGAGAGTCTTAAACACAGAAGATGCTTTGACCTCCTGTCCATTGAATAGAAGGAGAAATCAATGTCCACAGAAGGGCAAGGACTGGGCCAAATCTCAAACTGAGCCTCCCAGCCTCCCCTGCTGAGAAATCCAGCCCACTCCCATGGATGGAGTGCCAACCACAAGGAGGAAGGAGTCCCCCCTCTCCCCAGCAGCTGCAGGGGATTGGGGAAATCGGAGCAAGACCAGCCCTGACCACACCCTGTGCTAATGACTACTAAGCAGCTCATGTGTCCACCCTGTCACCAGCCCCTGGGCCACCATGGCCCCCACACTCTCTGCCCTGCTCTGCTTCGGTAAGTCCTAGGAAGTGGGAGGGCCACGGCCTTCAGGAGGGAGACTCAAAGCTAGAAGGAATCTGGAAATCACTGCCCAGACCCTTACTCCCCCATTTCACAGAGCAGGGAATGAAGGCCCTATGAGAAGGGGCACACCCAGGACAGTAGCCAAGGTCTCCTGGTATCTGGCTGTCCCCTCTGCATGCAGCCCCCAGGCAGGGACTCTGGGTCCTCCTTCCCTTGTCCCTCTGGGTTGGTGACAAGGATTGGGGTTCTGGGACTGAGAGCCAAGTCTAACCCAGAGCCTCTCCTACAGGGCTACGTCTGTGCTGGGGCATCTGGGCACAAGAGGGTGAGTCCTTTCCCCAAACGCCTCCTGCCCCTGCTACCTGCTCAGCATTGAGAGCTGTCCCCAGCCAGGGGCAGCCAGGGGCAGTGGAAGATGGGGCTCTGGGCAAGTGGGATGATTCTGGGAGGGGACCTAGGACTGAGACTTGGGAAGCAGGGGCTGAGGGGGACCCTCTGGGCTCTGATTCTCTTCCAGGAGTATTGCCCAGACCCTCCCTCAGGGATGAGCCAGGCCTGCTGATCCCTGAGAGGAAGCCTGTGTCCCTCTGGTGTGAAGAGGCCCCTGGGGATGTTTGGTACTATCTGAAGAAGGGAGATTATCAGTACATGGAAAAGTCTGCAGCTGGGAGGGTGGCCCAGTTCCTCATCTCTCACGTGGCAGCAGACACTGGAGGGAGGTACCAATGTCTCTACCAGACCCAATCATCGTGGTCAGAGGCCAGTGACTAGCTGGAGCTGAGGGTGACAGGTGAGAGGAGACCCCTCCCCCCTCAGCACCAGCCTCAGACTCTGGCCTGAGCCAAGGCTGGCTCTGGGGCCCCTGCATCCCCAAAGCCCTGCAGCCCCTGGCTCCCCTGAAGCCAGACTGCTGCTCTGTCCCTCTCCCAGCTCCAGCCTGGGCACAGGGAGGGGAGGAATGTCCTTGTTCTAACTCCAGGTTCTCCTTCACCTCCTTCCCCAGGCCCCTATGACCCACCCTCCCTCTCAGCCCTGCCCAGCTCCATGGTGGTCTCAGGACACAATGTGACCCGGTAGTGTCAGTCAGAGGTGCGGAATGACATGCATGCCCTGTACAAGGATGGAGAACAGATCACCCAAGGCAGGGCCCAGCCCCACAGAAGGGGGTCTCTGGCCAACTTCTCCATCCCTGCTGTGAATGCTACTCACAGAGGGACTAACCAATGCTACACCTTTCATAGCTACCACCCTTATGAGTGGTCAGCCCCCAGCAACGCCCTGGTACTCAGGGTCACAGGTGAGGGAGCCCCAGCCCCACCCCGTGCCTCCTATCCCTCCTAAGCTCCTTCGCTGGCCCTGGGGCACCTCCCTACCTCCTCAGGGACCTGCCCAGGGGACCACAGGGGCCAGGAGGTCTGGGAAAGAGGAGGCTCAGAAGGAGGGGATGGAGAGCCTAGGCCATGGGTCCTGCACAGAGAATGCAGACAGTCAGGCCTCTCCTCCCTGGCCCCTCTAGATCCATTCTGCTCTGTGATCAAAGGCCCCGGTCCAATGATATTCTCCTGCTTATGTGCCTGCAGGGCACGGGGTGGGGTGAGCACCTGGAGGAGGGCAGGGGGCTGCCAAGGTGGCAACTGCAGGGGTTCTCTCTCCTCTCCTAGGAAGCCCCAGGCTCTACCGTCCTCCCTGCCTTTGGATAGCCAGAGTCTCAGTGCACACAGGAAGGCAGGAGGACTCTTGCCCCTCTCACCATCCAGGCTCCCATTTGACAGATGGGAAAGTGAGTCCCAGAGAGGGCAGGGGCTTACCCCCCGACTTCCAGACCCCCCAAGCAGCTCTGAGTTTCCCCTGGGTACACGGTCTTCAGCGAGTCACTGAAGGATTTCCCTTGTAGGTCAGACAAAGGCAGGAGACTGGGCTTGCAGTCAGGGTCTAGGATTCCCTCTGCTCTGATTCCCCTTCTCCCACCTCTGGACCTTTACCCAAGCTGCATCCCACCCCTGGCATTCGCTCCCAAGGCTCACCTCCTAGGTGATGTCTTTCTTGAAATCCTCCTTTACTCACTCAACATGTGCTCTAGGTGCTGCTGTTACTCCAATTTTACTAATGAAGAAGCTGAGGCAGAGGTTAAGCGACACAGCTAGGAAGGGCTGGAGCCTGGATTGGAACTCAGATCTTCCAGCCTCCAAGCTCTATGCACTGAGCCAGCTGTGGAGGGGCCCAGGCTGGGGCTGCCTTCATTCCCCACCTTGGCCTTTCTCCTGGGTGGCCCCCTTCTCTCCTTCCTCCCCCCCACCCCCACCCCAGCACTTCAAAAATGCTTGTCTTTCTAAAGTCCAGGGTTGATCCTGCCTGGACTCGTTTGTGCAGGATTACAGGATTACAGCCAGGAGAACGCAAGCCCACACAGGGCAGGCTTGCCTTTCTGTTTTGTCTCTGCATCCCATGGGCCTACCCCAGCACAAGGCCAGGCCCTTGGGGGAGGGGAGGGGGCTTAATCCAAATGTGTAGGACTGAATTAATGGATGTGCCTTGGCCTCCCCAAGGACCAGGACAGTGTTAACTCTGCCCACTCTCCCCTTGGCCTTCATCCTCAGCTTCCCCCGATCTCACAGCAGGCAACCTGCCAGGCATCTCAGCATTTCTCATTCTGCTCTCCCTCTTCCTCCTCCTCCTCCACCGTCGGCACCGTTGGCATCAGTTCAGACTCAGTGAGTTCTTGGGGCTGGGCGCCACCTGGGCTGAGGGCCCGATGGGGCATGAGCTGAGACCCACTAAACCCTGACTCTCCCTCTCCTTACAGGGAATGGGGGCAGAGAGGCAGAAGTCAGGAAGACCACCAGGAGGTAGGGCCCCAGACACACCCTGACTCCCCCTAGACCCTCCCCCAGCACACCTGCTCATCGCCCCAGACCTTCCCCTCAACTTTCTGTGCCTTCTTGTTCCCCAGCTCTGACCCAGCTGGGACCTCCCTGGAGGAGAACTCGTGTGAGTGAGAAGCGCAGGGGCAGGGGGGCCTGGGGTGGCAGAGGGAAGAGCCTGATCCTGGCCCCTCATGCCTTCTCCTCTTGCCTCCAGATGCTGCTGTGAATGATGACAGACAGAGGAGGCCAGACAAGAGAACACTGCTGTGAGTCACACATCTCCCCTGGAGGGAACAGGGAAGAGAGGCTTCCCCAAGGCCCAACACAGCTGGGAGGGTTCAGGGTCCTTTCCCCTCCTCAGCCCTCCTGTACCATGTCCCACTCCATCCCTTCATCTCCTGCCAGGCTCCCAAAAGGGAAGACCCTCAGGAAGTGACCTACACCCAGCTGAACCCCAACAGCTTCAAGGCTGGGGCCAAGAACTCTCCTCCCTCAGGACCTGTGGGGCCCAGCCTCTATGCTGCCCTGCTCAGCCTGCACCCAGGGGACCCCAAGTCTGCCTGTGAGAAAGCTGAAGCCTCAGGACACCTGAACTACGGGATGGATGACCCCAGCTGAGCAACGTTGGCCCATAGATTGATTTTGGCCTTTCTTTGTACTCTCATCCCTCAGCTTAGCCAGGGACAGTGAATAAAAGCCATTTATCCATCACCTCCAGTGTGCCAAGCGCTGGAGGCAGAGTAGAGATCTCCCATTCTGGGCAGGTGGAGACAACAGGCAGGGAAGACCCCCTCCTCATCTCAAATGTCATTTCCACAATAAACATCTCCCTGTCTGATACACAACCATTTACTGGGCCAAGGACCTGATCAGCAGGAACCGTCTTGCTCAGAGTGCTGGGCAAGTTCAAATGTGGCTTCAGACACCAGCTGTGTGACCCTGAACAAGTCACTTAACCCTTCAGACTCAGTTTCCCCATTTGTCCAATGCAGACAAGTGTGAAGCCCTCTGTGCAGTGCCTAGCACAGAGTAGGTATAACATAAACGCAAGATAACTTTGGGGCAGTGGGGAGCGGCAGGGGGGTCTTCAATAGTGTGGCCGCACTCCCCAGTACTCTGCAGGAATGATGGCTAAGGGCAATGGGCTGGAAGCGTTGCTATTCCCAAGGCTCCTGGGGAAGTCTCTCCCTTCAGCCTCCAAAGTGATTTTCCTAAAGCAGATGCGTTCCTGTCATGCCCCTACTAAACGAACTGCCAAGGACTCCCTGAGCCTCTGGGATCCATACAAACGGGGCCCTTCCTAGCCCCCTCCTCTGCCTTCTCACACCTCCCACTCCCCGTAAACCTGGGAAGCCTCTCAGGCTCCCGGTCTTCTCCGGACAGTCCTGCCCCTCTCCCACTCCTCTTCATTCCAACACCTTTTATTTCCTATTTATCCTGTATTTGCACATAGTTTCTCCCAGCAGAGCGTAAGCTTTCCGAGGCCTCTTTCTGTACCCTTAGCATGGCCTCTGGGGTAACAGGGGCCCAGGTTGCAGAAGTGGCTTGGCCAGCCCTTCCAGAGGTTGGACGTCCAACCTCCGACCCCAGGACCTCACGGGTGGCCAGAACGACCTGCTGGGGCCACTCCCAGAGTAGCTGTTGCTGGTGCCCACTGGGTCCCTTTCTTCAGATTTCTCCCCTCCAGAGACGGCTGTAAGGGGCAGACCCAGTAGCCTGGAGAATGGCCAGGCCTCTCTGTGGCCCCGGTTTGACTTGCCTGCCCTGGACTCAGCAGAAGCCTTTGCCTCGGCCATGCCGGCAGCCACCCGTCCCCCGCCATCTCCCTCTGGGCCAGGGAAGGACCTGGATCAGCCTCAGGACCCTCTTGAGGACAGACAAATGGCCGCGTCACAAGTTAAAGAGCTTTATTCCAAAGGGGAGTGGCGTTGCATTTAATCTTCCTCCTCATCATCCCCGGTGCCCGCCCCTCCCTGGCCCTTCTTGGCATTCTTCCTCTTGACCCTGCCAGCCCGGCCGCCCCCGTAGGGTGAGCGCAGGGAAAAGTCGATGTGCTTCTGGGAGTCGAGGCGCACGATGAAGGAGGGGATGTTCACCACCTGCTTTCGCACCCTGCAAGGAAGGAGAGCTGGGGGGTCAGCAAGGATCACACGGAGGCTCGTGCACGTTCTCCAGGGCAGGACCCCCTCCTCCCTCCCAGCACGGCCCCCTCACCTCGGCCGCCTGGCACAGAGCACCTTCACAAGGTGTACGGCTGAGCCGCAGTGAGCCTTGCGCAGGACTTGGGGAGGGGGCTGCCGGCCCCCGTCCCACACTAACACGTGGCAGCTGCAGCCCGGCCCTCGGACTCAGCCGGGGGCGTTACCCGCAGCAGCTGCGGGGGGGAGGGGCGTGGCCGCACCTGATGTGCCTCTGGCGGATGAGCACGCGCGCGTGGTGGATGGACTTGGCCAAGCCCAGCTTGAAGACCTGAGTCTGCAGGCGCCGCTCCAGGAAGTCCTCGATCTTCAGGCCCAGGATGTAGTCCAGCTTCATCTTGCCCTCGTCCAGGACGCCGATGCGCACCAGGCGCCGCAGCAGGGCATTGCCTGGGGGAGGGGGGGTGTGCAGGGGTTAGGGAGCCTCCCCTCCCCCACTTTCCAGACGCCCTAGAACAAGCTAGGGGAGAGATTTGCGGCGCCAGCCCCTCCCCCCTCCCCGGGTCCCGCCCGGCCCGGCCACCTTCAAAGAGCCGCCGCGGGTCCTTCTCGTCCAGCGTGAGCAGCTCCCGCGCCGCCTTGCGGATCTTGGCCAGCGTGAACTTGACCCGCCACACCTCGCGCTTGTTGCGGAGCCCGTACTCACCTGGGAGGAGAAGGAGGAGGAGGAGGAGCGGAGCACGTGGGTGGAAGCACCCAACGGGCCGCGCGCCCTCCCGGCCGCCATAGCCCCCCACCCCCACCCCTCCTCCGCTGCCGGACGCTGACCGATCAGCTTCAGCTCCTGGTCCAGCCGCGACTTCTCAAAGGGCCGCCGCGGCGTCACGTACGTCTTCCGACACACCCAGCTCCTGGCGACCGGCATCTTGGCCTACCGGGACGGTCTGGCTCGCACCTGCGCGTGGGGGAGACAGACACGCGGGCTCGGCAAGGGCGCTGCGGCGCCTGCGCGGGGCCCGGGAGCGGGGGAGGGGAACAGCCCGGAGACCGGAACGAGCACATGCGGACAAACAAGAAAAGGGGCGAAGCCGCGCTCCTGCGGCTGCGCGGGGAGCGAGCGTCCGGGGCCGCCGCGGAGAGCTCCGAGCCCGTCCCCCTCCCTCCCTCCCTCTCTCTGTGAACTCACCTCCTGCAGGCTTCACAACTGGCCGGGAAAGGACCCTACGCCTCGACGTGCGGCCCTTATACCGCCGGGGGGGGCGGTGCTCGTAACGTCAGCGCGCTGCGCGGCGCCCGCCAATCGGAAGCGAGCCGCCGGGTGAGGCGGGGCCGGCTCCGAGCTGAGTTCCGGTCCCGCTCCGGGCGCTGGGCCGACCTCTCTTAAGTCCGCGTTTCCTACGTCCGAGCCGTCTAGTCAGCTCTTCTCTGACCGGGAATGCGGTTGGGCTAGATGATCACCTCCTGGGATGGGGAGCTCGCTACCTTTCACTTTGGGACAGGAAGTTCGTGGTTAGGGAGTTCACACGGACAGGCAAACGCAGTTGGCGTCTTCGCACCTGCCCCCCAAGACGGAAGGGCAGAAGCGCAGCCCCTACATGGTCATCCTGGGCCTGGGGTGCTCGGACCCCAACCCCAAGGCCGTGCTTCTCCCTGCGGCCTCTCCCAGCCCAACAGTCCCTGAGCGCCCGGCAACACTCATCCCTCCCCCGGGGCAGTTACAGACGCCCCTGCACGAGTCGTTAGTTGGGACTGGCTTTCCGTCTACACCCGCCGTGTAGCCTAGACTTGGGACACACGTATACCCCTTCCATCCTCTCGTCAAACGAGAGGCGGATTGGTGGCGGACTGGAGCGCCCGGTCGTCCCACACCCCGGGTTACCTTAGTGACGTAGCAGGCCTAAGACCACACCTCCATGTGCGCTCCCCCCCCCCGCTGGTCATTTGCTGAGGAATCTTGGGTAAGGTGCCTGCGCAGTAGGGATGGGGGTGCGTGTTCCTTTAAGAGAGGCCTCTGCTTAGCCACGCCCTTATCCCCTAATCACCCGCTTAGTGGGCCTTGGTCCGTGCTTTACGTCGTTTGTGCTCTATGCGCTTTAGCTGCCCCGCTCCAAGGGTGAAGGTTCCTTAAGAACTTATGCCGCTGAAAAGCCTAACGGTGAACCTTTGCCAGCTTGACTTAAAGGACGCTTGAGTCCGTGAATTCACTCCAGACGGCCCTGAATCCCTCAAACTGCACCCCGGGGCGATGGGGCCGGATAGCCACCACCAGGCCCCCCCCCCACAGAGGGGGGACAGGCCAGAGCCCCGAATTAGGACGGAATGACCCTGTCCCCCCATGGAGGGGCCCCCAGCGAGGGTCAAGGTCCCAGAAGGGCCGCACCACCCGGACCACTGCTCCAGCTTCCACACCAGTGGGTTGGGCAGTGGAGTCTGGAAGAACCGAGTTCAAGCCTCGCCCTCTTGGCCCCGGGACAAATGGCCTCCCGTTAGAGCCTGCAGAGCGGGAGAACCGTGGAGCACCTGCGGATCCGTGATCCTCGTGGAGCTCCAAGTGCTCTCTCAAATCCCTCCTGCGGATTGCACCCAGCCGCTGCTACCCCGGGCCCTACAGCCCCCGACACTGGGAGACGGTCCAGCAGAAACAGACACGATTTTTTGGGCGGAAGCCACGTGAACCAGGCGTCCCGACCACCTGCTCAGCCGCTGCTCCCCAAGGACCAGCCGCTGAAATCTCCCCCCAAGAATGTAAACTCCCTTTACGCTGGCCGGCTGCGTTTTTCTACAGTCAGCCCCTTTCCTCTTTCACTCCTTCAAGTACCAAATAGGGCTTGGCCTGCAATCTGTTGTTGGCCAATCAGTGAGAGCCTGAGTGATTTAGGGCTAAGGCTGGTTTTTAAAAAAGAAAAGTCCAACAGAGACCCATTAAAGACCTTAGCTTCAAGGACCTCCCTGCATCCTGGGCCATCTCCAGTCGTCCTGATTTCTATCCTGCCACTGGACCCAGGCGGCTCCAGAGGAGAAAGTGAAGCGTGACCTTGCACAGCCCTCCCTCCCTCAAATCCAATTCAATTGCATGTTATGGCATCACCTTCCTGATGACATGGGCTTCTCTAAGAACAGCTACAATAAGGCAGCTGTCAGGTCCCACGGCCCCAGCACCTTAAGCCAGCTCCCTAGAGCTGGTCTCCACATCCCCTTGCCAGCTCCTCACAAAAGCTGCCCACATTGGGCACTGTCCTCGGGCCTTGGCTTAACTGTACTGTTCTCACTACAGAGTGGAGGGTGTTCTCCGTGGGCAGAATACCTCAACCAGAGTAAGGCTGTGAGGACAATGAAACCAAACACACGGCCTTGCTTTATGTTTGGAAAAGATCACAGCATGATTCTCTGGACTTCTCAGTAACGTGTGGGTGCACACTCTCTCTCGAGCATACACTCCCACACAGGTAAATGAACAAAATTATCTGCAAAATGATTTGCTTTAAAATAAAGGGAATGCTTTCTTCAACTAAGATATTTACAGTCACTTTCAATAGTCTTTTCATGCATTATTAGTGAATTGTTTAGTCATGACCGACCTTCTGTGACCCCATTTGGGGCTTTCTTGGCAAGGATAATGGAGCAGCTTGCCATTTCCTTCTCCTGCTCATTTTATAGATGAGGAAACTGAGGCAAGCAGGGTGAAATGACTGGCCCAGGGTCACACAGCTATTGTGTCTGAGGTCAAATTTGAACTCAAGAAGACAAGTTTTCCCGATTTCAAGCCCAGTCCTCTATCTACAGCTCTACCTAGCTGCCCAACTATCACAAAAGGAAAGATTTTTTAAAACTTACCACTATCTGGGCAAAGGGGGGTTTTTTGTTTCAGTTTTTAAACTTAGGAAGGATAGTTGGTTTTGGTTTTTTTTTTTTAAACCCTGCCAAGATATTAATACCTAACAGCTAATATTCACATTGTGCTTTACCTGGAGGGAACCTTGGAGGTCATGGAGTCCAAGCCCCTCAGATGGAGAAACTGAGGCCCAGAGAAGGAAAGGGACTTGCCCAAGGTCACAGGGTAGGACGCAGCAGAGACAGGATTTGAATTCCAGTTCTCTCCAAATCCAGCAGTTTTCACTTCTCCCCTTCATGAACTCATTTGACTCCCCCAGCAATCAGCAAACATTTATTAAGCTCCTACTGGGTACCTGGCCCTGGGCTAGGCACCAAGGATATAACTATAAAAACCAAACAATCCCTGCTCTCAAGAAACTTCCATTCTACTGAAGAGAGATGCATATATGGACATATATATATATATACACACACACACACACACACACATACACACCTATATCATATAGCTATATATAAATATACATACACCTACCTATAGTCCATATAAGAAAATAAATACAAGGTGATTTAGGAGGGGGAGGACACTAGCCATTGAGAGGACTAAGAAGGGGTTCACATGGAGGAAAGCCCTGAGCTGAGTGTGGAAGAAAAATGGATTCCAAAAGGCAGGGGCAAAGAGGGGGCCCATTCCAAGCCCCAGGGAAGGTTTTAGGGCAGTACCAGAGGAAGGGCCTGAAGTCTGGCCCCAGGGGTTGCAGCCTGGTAGGGAAGGGCTTTCAGTGACAAAGGAGTTTATCCTGGACCCTAGAAACCAAAATTGGGGACTGAACAGGAGCAAGACATGGTTGGCCAAGCTTTAGAAAGAGCCACCTTGGCAGCTGAGAGGACCCACAGAGTAGGTCATGGATGATGTGAGAAGCTTCCGAGGCCTGGTGTCCATGACTGGCACAGGAAGGGAGTGGGGTGGGGGGAAATGACCAGCCCTGGAGCAGTGTTCAAATCCAGCCTCAGATGCTTTCTAGCTGTAGGACCCTGACCAAGTCATTGTTTACCTCAGTTTCCTCATCTGTAAAATGAGCTGAGGAAGGAAATGCCAAAATGCTCCAAAACCTTTGTCAAGAAAACCCCAAATAGGGTTCTGGGAGAGTGGGACAGGACCAAAATGATGGAACAAGCATCCCGTTCAGCAGGCTGTCTGCTCCAGAAGGACTCTGTGTGCAAACAGGATGGTGAAGGGCCCTGAATCTCTAGCACAGGAAGACAACAATCACAACACAGTATATATGTACACATACATATACAGCACCTGCTATGTGCTGGGCACTGTGCTAAGCCCTTTACAATTATCTTAGCTGATCCTCACAACCACCTTGGGAAGGAGGGGCTAGGATTGTCCCCATTTTACAGATAAGGAAACTGAAGCAGAATGAGGTGAAGTGACCTGCCCAGGGGCACACAGCTAGGCAGCATCTGAGGGGGGGTTAGAACTCAGGTCTCCCCGACTCCCCTCCAGCACTGTAACATTTAGCTGCCTCTGGGATCAAAGTTTCTCCCCAACATAAAGTAACCAGGTAAGTCTCCTCTTGACTTGGAAGGAACTGAGTCATCTTGTTACTTGGAGGAGAGATTAGGCCCCTTCTCTTTGGCAATGGAGAGTCTCCAATTCTGAGCCCAAGCAATCCCCCTGATCACTTTGGTAAAATGAGGATTTCCCACCCACCCCCTCATGCTGCCCCCATTTTAAGGATGAGGAGTCTGAGGCCAGAGGGGAAGACAGACATCTTCGGAATGCTGGAGCTGACTCAGACTTCTGGGAGGGTTTGACCCCCAGGATCGCCACACCACAAAGGCCCTGGCTCATCCAACTCTCCTTCCCCTATCCGAGGGGCTCTCGTTCTCCAGCTGAAATGCACAGGGACACACTAGAGTCCAAAATAATCTAGGACACAGAGGAAGGGCAGAGTCACACAAGCAATCAGGAGCCCAGAGTTCCTTCCCTCTCCCTTCTCTGGTCATGGCAGGCCAGCCCACTGCAGGGAGGTATAGGCCACAGAGCCATCAGGCTGAGGGGAGCAGAGGAGCAAGGTCTTTCGTACGTTCGTCCCAAGACGGCCAGCAGAGACAAGGTCTGGCAGCGGGAGGGAGTCCCCAGGGGCACAGCACTGGGCCACAAAATGGGCATGGAAGCGAAGGGGGTCACCTGGCATCAGGGAGAAGGGAGGAATGAGGCAGGTGAAAGAGACACCCCCGATTTCATCTGCTTTCTCAACCCTCCCTCCACCCCACCCCAACCAACAACGTCACTGACGCAGAGCACAGAGCAGAGCCAACGTGAAGTCTGAAGTTCATTTGGGACAGCTGAGGAAACTGAGGCCCAGAAAAAGAATGAGTCCAGGTTGGGGCATCTAGATGGCATAGTAGATAGAGCACCGGCCCTGGAGTCAGGAGGACCTGAGTTCAAATCTGGCCTCAGACACATAACACTCCCTAGCTGTGTGACTCTAGGCAAGTCACTTAACCCCAATTGCCTCACCCAAAAAAAAAAAAAGAGTCCAAAGGGTCTGAATGAGAGCTGGCAGTAAGGCTTAGGGGGGTGGCCTGGATGAGCTCAGGGATCAGAATCCACTATCTTGGACAGCTGCCATCCAGCTACTGCCTGGAGCCCCCCAGTGAGAGGAGGCCCATTCCTCTTAGCAGCGGCTCTGGCGACATCAATCCCAAATCTGCTTTCCTGCAACTCCTCAACCAACCCCTACCACCCACACACCCGTTTTACACTGGGGGGAAACTGAGGCCCAGAGAAGGTCAGGGCCTTGCTTGAGGTGAAATCGGCAGACCTCTTAGAAAGAGAAGCAAGAGAAGGCGGAGCTGTTGACCACAGGGACTTGTGTGTCTCCCTTCCACACTCCCCCCTCCCCAGTTCAATATATATATCAGACATCGGAGCTAGACACAGAACGTGGGCTACACCTTAAGTGACCATGAGGCAAAGGGGTGGGGTGGGGGAAACCAGCTCACCTGGATAGACCAGAAAGTCACCTCCAAACTTGCCCCCGGAGGTGAGGAAGTAGCCTCTTTCCCACAGGTCCTTGTAGACTTGGTACCTCAGCTCATGGGATGGGTTCCCAGCGTGGGGCCAATCTGGGGATGGATGGTGCCAGTCCAGGGGCCTGGCCCAGGCCGGTCTGGGCCGGGCTGTGGGGAGCTGCACCAGCATTGCAGTCTCTGGGAAAGGGGGCTGCGGCCCTGGTTGGGGAGAGGGAAAGTTAGAGCAAGGGCAGACGCTCCCGGCCCCTCCCCCAAAGGCCCCCCCACCTCACCTCCCTCCTCTCCTTGCTGCTCCTCCCTCGGCCCCGCTGTTTCTTGGCCCGGGCCTCGGCAATGTGCTCCTCCAGGTCCTTCAGACGCCTCCGCCGAGCCTCAGACGCCAGGGCTCGCTGCTCCCGGAATCCCGACTCCTGCTCCCGATGGTAGGCAGCCACAGCCTGGGGAAAGGGGAGAAGGGGGGAAGCTTTCAGCGGAGACTAAGCAGGCAGATGCGCGGGGCTCCACTGCCCGTCCCCTCCCTCTGGTCCCAGGCTCCCCGGCCCCGCGCCCCCTCCCTCTGGTCCCAGGCTCTCCTGCTCCGCGCTCCCCACGCGGTACCTGGGCCTGCTGGCCGGGGTTCGGCCGCGGGGCAGTGACGAGCGTGGCGACGCCGATCTCGGCCAGCAGCCGGGCCTCCTCTGGCAGCAGCAGCAGCGGGAGGCCCAGGCGCGCGTTCTGCCGGGGCCCCCGAGCCAAGCTGCCCACGGGCCGGCCCCCCACGCCTAGTCGCTCCCGCAGCGTCCGCGCCGCCTCGGTGCCCCACACCAGGGCCTGCCCGGCCTTCACCTCCACCAGCAGCATGCAGCCGGCCTGCGCAGCCACTCCAGCTCGGGATCGGGCTCCAGCTCCGGCCCGCCTCCTCCGGGACTGCCGGGGGCCCAAGTGTCCGGAGGCTCCTCCCCCCGCCGCCGCCGCCGCCGGCCCAGCCCCAGCCCCGCCCTTTCAGAGCTCGAGACGCCTGCGGCCCCGCCTTCGTTCCCCGCGCGGTTCAGCAGCCCGGCTCTCAGCGTCACCCCCTCCTTCCCAACGCTCGGGCTTCAGCTCCGCCCCCTTCCCAATGCCCTGTCCTCAGCCCCGCCCCATTTCGAGAGCTCAGACCTCAGCAACGCCCCGTTAGAACCCTCACCCAGCAGGCCCGTCCCTTTCCCAACGCCCCGCCCCTTCCCGAATGCCTCGTCGCCCGACTCCGCCCCCGACAGTGGATCATCCCTTAGCCCCACCCCTTCAGAAGTCAGCGGTCTGAAGGCCCGCCCCCTTTTCACCCCGCTGGGCAGAGCCCCGCCCCTCCCCGCCCCGCCCCCTCCCGTCCAGCCGTGCCAGGCCGGGCTTACCGAGCCCGGGGCTCTCGTTCGGGCGCCTGGGGTTCCACCCCGGATCCGGAAGGGGCGGCCGGCGGCAGGAGGGGGGCGGGCCGGACGGGGCAGGGAGGCTGCCTCAGCTGCTCGGGCCTGGGTCCGAACAGGGTTGCTGGGCTGCAGGTGGGGCAGGGTACCAGGGTGCGGGGCCAGCGACCCCAGGGTGGACAGGGAGGGGCTGGGGTAGGAGAGATGCACTGGACGCTGGGCGCGGGGCATGCACAGGCGCCCCTGGGGATGGGGGAGGGGTGCCCGGAACCTCCTAGGTGGGGGAAAGGGGCATACTCCCTGGAATGGGGGAGGGACGTGCCCCCGATGGGGGGAGGGGCGTGCCCGGGCCAGGAAGGGATGGGTGGCTTAGGCCTTGCTCCCCCACCCCAGAAACATGACGCCGGAGGAGTGGAAGTATCTTGCGATCCTCCTTATCTCCATCCCCGTGGGCTTCCTCTTTAAGAAGGCGGGTGAGGCGCTTCCCCTTCCTGTGGTCAGAGATTGGGCAGAGGGCGGGTGGGGGAAGGGAAAAGCAGGGGGCCCCCAGCTGGGGCCAGCATGGGGCTCCCCTACGAGGGGCAGAGGAAGGCTCTCCTGTCCTGACTACCCTCACTGCTTACCTCCAGGTCCCGGGCTGAAGCAATGGGGAGCAGCAGGGGTGGGTGTGGCCCTGACCCTGCTCACCTGTGGGCCCCACATTCTGCACTCGCTGGTCACCATCCTTGGCACCTGGATCATCATGGAGACCTGGCCCAGGTAACTGGCTGGCCCGCTCCTTCTGGTGACCCATACACAGAGGCTCCAGGGTCCAGTTCCCCCGTGGCCACCCCAGGTTGTCTCTGTGTTCCTGGTTGGGAAGAGCCGGGCTTGATAGCCATGCTCAGGTCTTTCTATCTGTCTCTGTTTTTCTCTCTCCCCCGCCCCCCCCATCCCTTCCTCTGGGCAGATCCTGCCATGCCCTGGCACTGGCCTGGACCTTCCTCTACCTCCTGTTCTTCCGAATGGTCACTGTATTTGGGCTTCCAGCTCCAACACCCTTCACCAATGCCGTGCAACTGCTGCTCACGCTCAAGGTGAGGTCTTTGGACTACGTGCAGCTCCCAGCACCCTTAGGACCACCCACTCTCCCAGACTCCCCATCGATAGCCCCTACCAGCTGGCCCTGGAATTCTGCTTCCCGGCAGCACTTCCCTCTGGGCCCACGGGATAGGTAGGGTTCTCAGTTCCGGGAGGAATTTGCTGGGGCTGCTGGGAGCTGGGACTTCTTTATTTGACTCCTGGATCCAGGCTACAGCCAGAAGGGGCCTTGCAGGTCCATGAAACCCAGCTCCTCATTTTACAAATGCAGAAAGGATCGGTGGTGGGGTTGGAACCCAGGCAGGCCTCGGAACCTGGAGCTCTTTCCTGCTGCCTCTCGGAGCTCGCTGGGACAGCCAGGGCCGGGCGGGCTGGGGCGTGGAGACGCTGGGCCCAGCCCTGATCCTGTGGCCCTTCACAGCTGGTGAGCCTTGCCAGTGAGGTACAGGAGCTGCGGGCTCAGAAGGAAGACCTCCCAAAGCCCCCGCCCGTGGGGCAGCTTCTCGCCGTGCCCTCGCTGCCCCAGATGCTCAGCTACAGCTACTGCTACGTGGGCCTCTTGACTGGTGAGCCTCCCATGCATGTTGTCCCTGTCACCTGGCATCTGCCGCTGTTGTCCTGGGCTCTCTTCTCTGGCTGTCACCTTTGTCACCTCCAGGCAGGGGGCATGGGGCACATCTGGAGGCAGCCGGCCCGGCCTCCTCGTCAGGGAGGCCAGCGGGCCCACTGACTTTGCCAGTGGCTGGAGAAGAGTTCTCTGTGTCTTCTCTTCTCCAGACCCTTCTGCTGATCCTCAAGGCCCTCCTCTGAGCCCTGCCCCCCCCAGCTTCTCAGTGTCCTCCTTAAACAGCAGTGCCCACTACTGAACCCAACATCGCCCAAGGCCAAATTAGCTTTTAGCTGTCACATCTCACTGCTGATCCATGTAGAGCTTGTGGTCCACTAAGAATGCCTGCTGTTTCATCATGCCTCCCTGTCATCTTCTAGTGACTAGACTGCTGGATGGGGAATCAGGAAGAACTGGGTTCAAATCCCACCTGTGACACTTACCAGCCTAGGGGCCCTAGGCAAGTCACTTAACATCCCTGGGCCTGGCTTCTCCCTTGGGAAAATGAAGTAGTCGGTGCCTCTTCCTGAAGGGCCTGCAGATCTGCCACTTCCTGCCTCCATTTGCCCCAGCTGGGCTCTGGGACGGGCAGTGTGGCCCAGTGGGTAGGGTGCTGCTTCCAGTCCTGCCCCCGGCACGTCCTAGCTGTGTGACCATAACCTCCATCTCCTCCTCTGTGGAATGGGAGTAACGTTGGTAGCTTCTCCCTCGCGGGAGAACAGCCGCATAGCCATCGCTGTGTTCGTCTTTTGTCAGTCTCATGTTTCTCTGTTGAGGGTCTGTGTCTCTCTGGTGTCTGCAGTGGCCTTGACGACTCCCCTCTTCCCTGGCAGGCCCCTTCTACCGCTACCGTACCTACCATGACTGGCTGCACCAGGGACCGGCGGTGCCCAGCCTGGAACCGCTGCTGCTCCGGGCCCGGCCTGCCCCTCTCTTTGGGCTGCTCTTCCTGCTGTCCTCCTGGCTCTTCCCCCTGGAGGCCGTACGGGAGGATGCCTTCTATAGCCGATCCTTGGCATTCCGCCTCTTCTACATGGTGCCGGTCTTCTTTGCCTTCCGAATGCGTTTCTACGTGGCCTGGATCGCAGCTGAGTGTGACTGCATAGCCGCTGGATTTGGGGCGTACCCCGTGGGGGCCAAGTCAAGGGCGGGGGGTGGCCCCACCCAGCCCTACCCTGCCCCAGACAGGTCAGCATTCCACAAAGGGTCACTGGGGCCAAGGCATGCCCCTTCTGCGGGCTGGCAAGGCATCCATGGTCTCCTTGGCTGAGCCCAGCCTCAGGACCTAACCGTGGCCCCCTGGAGAATGTGTCTCAGGCTAGCTCCTTCCTCACTGTTGGAGGACTGTCCCCACCCCACCCCCCCAGCCATTCTGTGGCCAAGGGAAGGTGGTCTTCAACACCCCTGCCCCCTGGGTTCTCCCTGGCGGTCATAAAGCTGCGGTGCAGGATAGGCCCCTCACAGCCATGGTGCCTAGGGGTCCAGAGGAGCACGGCCCTAGCCCTCCCAAGCTAAGTGGGGCCCTGTCCTGCGGGGCGGCCTCGCCTCCAGCCCATTCAAGCCTTGAGAGAAGATTTGGGAGGCAGGGCCTTGGGAGTCCCGCTTCTGGCAGCCGCAAAGGCTGTCAGCTTCCCTGGGCCCTGTTGTCAAGGGCCAGGTCTGCCCTTCGCCTCAGTGACCTTGCACAGTCTTGGGCTCCAGGATTCCTTGGGCAGGCCGTCACTCTTGGCAGCTGTGGGGGCCCTGGAGGGTGGCAATATCAGGGTCCCACTCTGCCCTGATACCCAAGAGGGATGACCCCCACACGGTAACTGTAGTGGTAAAAGGGCCCCAGCCAGGCCCCTTTGGAAGTCATGGAAGGGGAGTCAGGAGCCCCTCCTGACCCCGAGGCTCTTTCTCTAGCCCTGAAGCTGGGGCAGCCACCAGATATGACTATGAGACCATCCGCAACATCGACTGCCACGGGACGGACTTCTGTGTGCGTGTCCGCGACGGGATGCGGTACTGGAACATGACGGTGCAGTGGTGGCTGGCCCAGTACGTCTACAAAAGCGCCCCGGCCCGCTCCTATGTGCTGAGGTGAGCCGCCTGGGGCTGGGGCCTGCTGTGGGGGCGGGGCTGGGGCTCGAGGTGCCTCTGACACCCTGCCCCCACCCTGCAGGAGCGCCTGGACCATGCTGCTGAGCGCCTACTGGCACGGCATCCACCCCGGCTACTACCTGAGCTTCCTGACCATCCCCTTGTGCCTGGCCGCCGAGGGCTGCCTGGAGTCAGGCCTTCGCAGCCGCCTCAGCCCCCAGGCCCAGCAGGCTTGGGACTGGGCACACTGGTTTCTGAAGATGCGGGCCTATGACTACATGTGCATGGGCTTCGTCCTGCTGTCACTGCAGGACACCCTCCGCTACTGGGCCTCCATCTACTTCTGCATCCACCTTCTGGCCCTGGCGGGCCTGGGGCTGGGGCTAGCCCTGGGGGGAGGGGGCCCCGGCCGCAGGGGAAGGGGCGCCAGGGCTGAAGCCAAGACTCCCCCAGACAAGCCTCCCACACCCCCAGACAAGTTACGGGAGGAGTGAGGGACCCCTGGGGCTGAGCAGGGCAAGTCTGGGCACTGAGCTCCCCCGAACTTTGAGGGGACACCAGAATCCCCAGAAGACCTGAAGGCTAAGGGGGCTGGAGACCCGGAAGCCTGGATCCCAGAAGAGACAGGAGGATCGGTCCCCCTCGGTCCCTGAGAGAGCAGGGCCTGATGAGCCCTATTCCTGGGGGCTGATATGGCTGGGAACCCCGATGCCAGCCTCCCCCCAGGCCGGCTCCTTGGGGGGAAGATTTTAACTTTCTCAATAAAGAGCCTTGAACAAAAGTTTTGTCGGTACTTGTCTTCAAGGGAAGCTGGTGGCTTCTGAGACCCTGGGAGCCGCGGGCTCCCCCGGCTCTTGAGCTTTCCCTTTGTCTGGAACTAAGGAGGAACACAGTTTGCTTCTGCCAGGAAGGCGGGCTCTGGACTACTGCCCCCACCTGGCGGTGCGCCAGGTGCCCTTAGGGCCACAGGACGGTCCCCAGAGTGCTGCTGGGAGAACGATTCCAGGTGTGGGAGGGGCCAAGCCAGCCACGCCCTGGTCTTACCTGGGCTCTCGGATTTCCAGCCCTGCTGTAGCGCCAGGGACAGAGACAAGAATGGAGGCTGGAGGAGGATCTGGGGAAGGTTGGATCACCCAGGGGCCTGGCCCAGGCCGGTGGGGGGGGCAGGGAAGAGGAAGAGTCCCCATAAACGAAGGAGGGTGCGAGCCATAACCTCAGACTCTGTCCCTAGGCCCTCTCTAAGGAGGAAGGAAGTGGCCTGGAGCCCCAGGGCAAAGTCCTGGTGGAGGAAAGAGGGGAGTCTAGGGTCCCCAGAGAGGGTGGGGTCTAGGGAAAGAATTTCTGGGTAGCTTAGAGGGTTAGACTTGGGGAGGGGATGCTGGAACCCTAACCCTGAGAAGCTGGGGGAGGACTTGTTAGATGCTATAAAAAATGAGGAAGGCTTGGTTCCCCCTGGGGAGGCTGATGCTCAGAATCCTGAGACGATGGAGAAGGGGATGTCTGGGTCTCCCAGTGGGAGGAACTGAAGTATCGGAGTGAATAGAAGCTAGGGGGGAGGGAAGGCTTAGATCCCCAAAGGAAAGGACCAACAAAGGGATCCGGGGACCTCTGAGGGGGCTGGACTAACAGGATCCTGGGATCACCTGGGGGAAGGTTTGCCTCAGACTGTGGAGACATGAGCTAGGAGAGTGGATGCACGTGGCTGCCCCCTTTCTCTCCTCTGGAAGGATATACTTCAGGATGGGGACAGTGGGGGCTGGGGAAGGGTTTTCCTGGAGCTCCTGGAGCCTCCCAGTCCTTTCTGTTCCCGGCACCCCTCAGGCCCATCACTGTCAGCCCTACTGAGCAAGCTCCCCAGCTCAGCCACAGTGAGATACAGAGGGCCGGGCGTCCATCCCTGGGGAGAGCCAGAGCCACCCCTGGAGAAGAGCAGGAAGGAGAGCTGGTCACAAAGGCAAACTGCCCCCGTGGCATCCCCTGTGGAGCCCCCAGAATCCCAGGCCCTTCGAGAGCTGCCCTGGCCCATAGAAGCCAAGCAGCTTCTGTGGTGAGAACCTAGCCTTAACCTAGCCTCTGCCTTGCCTTTCCCCCTCTTTCTAGCTCTGGCTCTAACTTGGAGGGGTGGTGGCTCTTCCATGCTTCTATCCCCCTGCCCAGCACTGCTTTTTCCTCTCTCCTCTTCCATCTATTTTTTTTTCAAGTCCCTGTGTCTCTGCTCACCTCTCCCTAGGAGGCTTCAAGCACAGAGGCCAACAAAGCCAGAGCCAGGCATTCGGGGATCCAAGGGGGCCCTGCTACTGGGCAGAGCTTGGGCTCGCCTGGTTGGAGTCCCAAAGATGCTGGTACCCTGGAGGACCATACTGACGAAGATTGGGAGTGAGTGAGGCTGATGGGACACATGACTCCCGCAGTGAGGGCTGGACCGTGATATCCTTAACATCCCTCTTCTCCCTCCAGGCCAGTATGGGGCAGGCACTGAGTCCTACTTTGGACTACTTCGATTCCTGCTGGGTTTGAACATTCTGGGGGTCTTGTTCCAAGGAATTCTGACCCTGCTGCCCCTCCTCCTGTTGGGTTCCATCCCAGGGCCGCCCTCACCAGGGGTCACTAAGCCTTGTGGCTCCTATGACCCTGTGCCCCAGGGCCTTGTGGACTATGCCACACATCTCACCAACCTGCTCTCGGGAGAGGTAAGGATCCCCTCACCCTGAATACCTGCCCCGCCCCAATCCCAGCACTATCCCCTAGAATTGGACCACAGGACTTCAAAGCAGAAAGATATCCTGCATACAGTCCCATTTCAAAGGAAGAAATTGAGGCTGTCAGAGGGCACAAGTGACCAGTGGTCACCAATTAGGCAGAGTGTGGGCTCTGGTCTCAAACCCCGGTCTCCTGATTCCCCATCCTGGACTCTTCCCTTTCTACATGGAGCCCCCATCGAGCATTTTTGTCTTTCTGCCTGCCCTTTGTTTTCATCACAGGGTCATCTGGAGTGGTCCCCCCTTTTCTATGGTTTCTACCCAGTCCAATTAACAGGTAGCACCTTCCAGCTGCCAATCGCCTACCTGTTGTCCACATTTCTCTCTGGCTTCCTCTGCCTTCTCCTGATCCTCCGCAGGTAGGATTTCCAAGGACCCTGGGCCCAGACCTTCCCTCCCAGCCTCTGGAGTCCCCACCTCCCCATAAATCTCCAGCACTCTCAGCCCCTTTCTCAACCTGTCATCCCCCAGGTCGGTGTCAGGACTGAAGCAGACCCTGCTGATCGAGTCTGGGGTTCTGACCAGCTACAGTCACCGTGTCTTCTCTGCTTGGGACTTTGGACTCCAGGGCAGCGGCCCCGTGGAGCTCCGCAAGCGAGCGATACGCTATGAGCTTCAGGTGCTTCCAGGGCGGCAGAGAGAGCAGGACCATGGACAAGACCCAGACGCCTAGACGGCCTGGGGGCAGGGCTCAGAACTGGGAGGGGTGGGACACTGGCTTGGGAAGCCAGCGGGGCCCCAGAAGAGGGGGCGGACCAGGACTTAGGCTGGAGGAGCTTAGAACTGAGAGCGCGGGGAGACTTGAACAGGACCATGAGACGGGGAGGGAATGCAGAGGGAAGACGCAAGAAAAGGGCCAGCTGCCAGCCTTCCCCCAGGCCCCGGCGCCTGAGGTCTGTTGTCCCCGTCTCTTCCACAGGTGGAGCTGGAGGAGGCCTCGATGAGGAAGCTCGCAGAGGCCCGGACCCGGGCGCAGTGGGCTGGTCTGTGGGTGACTAGGATATTGCTCAACCTGCTGGTGCTGGCTCTGCTCGCGGCAGCCTTCTATGGGGTCTACTGGGCCACGGACCCCGACAAGAATCTGCAGGTGTGGCCCAGATGCCGACGGGACGGGACCAACAGACAAGGTGCAAGGGACCCTGCGGAGGGGGGAAAGGGGCCGGGATTTGGGGCACATGGAATGCTCTGGAGGGAGCTGAGACCCTGAGGGCAGGGACGGAGCATCCTGGCAGGTCTGCTCCCCAGCCCCGTTCTCCCACATCAGGAGGATCCCGTGGTCCAGGCGACCCCGCTGCTGAAGCTGCTGATTGCCTATCTGCCGTCCATCTTCATATCCACGGCTAACCTCATCCTGCCGCCCGTCTTCAGCCTTATCACCAGCCTGGAGGGCTACACGCGGAGCCGCCAGGTCCAACTCATCCTTCTCAGGTGGCCCAGTCAGAGGGACCGGCTCTGGGGTCAGACCGAGCGCCTTAGACACCCAGTTTGGGCTCCTTCATCACTTCACACTCCGCCTTCCCTTCCTCCTAACCAGGACCGTGGTTCTCCGCCTGGCCTCACTCGTGGTCCTGCTGGTGTCCCTCTGGAATCAGATCACCTGTGAGGGCAAGCCCGAGGCTGAGGCCTGCGCCGCGTGCGGCTATGACTACAACATACTACCGGTGACGCCAGGATCCCAGAGAAAGGGCCAGGGCTGGGGCCACCTGGACTTCCCGGGGTGGGGGTGGAGGTGGGGGGGCCGGCCCTGGGAAGGGGACACCTGGCACCCCAAGGAACAGAGACGGGGAAAGGACACGTGGAGCCTCAAGGGGCAAGATGCAGGGTCCCCGAGGGGGGAAAGGACAAGGAGAAGGGAAGTGAGGCGTTGGGTTTTACCTGATCGACCCCCAACCCCATCCCCAGTGTTGGGAGACTCGGGTGGGACAAGAGATGTACAAGCTGCTGCTGTTTGACCTGCTGACTTGCCTGGCCGTCCCTCTGCTGATCCAGTTCCCGCGCAAGTACGCTCCAGTCCCAATGCCACCCGCACCTCTCCCTGGCCCTTCCTAGCGGCCCTACACTCTTCATCCTCCTCCCTTCCACTGAGATTTTTTTTTTTCCTCTTCTGGCCAGCCGCGTACTCCATTCTAGAAATCTATCTTTTACATCAGTTCTATGGGATCCACCCCTCTATTAGACCCCGCCTCCTCTCCCTTGGGATTGGGTCTTGCTTGGAAGGAGTGCATAGAAGCGGAGCAGTTAGAGGAGTGCTGGATGCCCATTGGGCGTCCAGACGAGGGACATGGCAAGCCTGAGAGTTGAAGGGAAAACCGGGGACTGGACAACAGCAAGCCTTGAACCGGATTCTCCTCTCGTTTCTTTTCCAGACTCCTAGGGAGTATGTGCGGGGGCCGTCTGGGCCGTCTGGTGGAGACCATGGAGTTCCAGGTCCCGGATGAGGTGCTGGGGCTGGTGTACGGGCAGACGCTGGTCTGGGTAGGGGGTTTCTACTGCCCTCTCCTGGCGCTGCTCAACACAGTCAAATTACTGCTCACCTTCTACCTAAAGAGGGTGAGGGAAGCGCCCTAGACCCTTGGGACTCAAGTGGAGTGGAGGAGGGGGCGCCCAGCAGCTGGAGCGCGGAAGGAGCTAGGGAGAGGGATGGGACTGTAATGTGGAGGCGTCCGGCCCCCTCACTCCTCTTCCCCACTACAGTTTACGCTCTTCGCCTTCTGCTCTCCGGCCTCTCGCACCTTCCGGGCCTCCACAGCGAACTTCTTCTTCCCGCTGGTGCTGCTCCTGGGCTTGGCCATCTCGGCTGTCCCCGTGCTCTATGGCATTTTCGTGTGAGTGCTGAGGGCTCCCTCCCTTAGACCCCTCACGCAAAAGCTTGTCGTTGTCGGGGGGATGCTTTGTAAGGGACAAGTCCTGCGGAAAGGTGCGCACCAAGCCCCGCTAGGTGGGAGTCAGGCTTCCAAAGGCGCTCCCAACAGGCACTGGATGTTTTTGAGCCTGCTCTTATTTTACAAAGGGAGAAAAGAAAGAGAGTTCCCCAAATCACGCATCAAGTCAGAGGCAGAACCAGAACTGGGATATCACGGGGCTGTTAGAGGAGATGCCGGAGTCCACCCTCCTCTCCATCTTACAGAGAGGGCAGGGGCGGCGCTGGGATTCATACCCAAGGCCGGCGAATCCAATCCGGTGCTCCCTGACCCAACCCTTCCCCCCCAGTCTGGATTCTGTACCTGTCTGCACTGATTCCTGTTTCTAGGATCCCGCCGTCCAAGCTGTGCGGCCCCTTCCAGGGCCAGCCGGACATTTGGGCTGCCATACCGAATGCCATCCAGGGCCTGTCCCAGGGTGCCCAGGACTTCCTTTTCTTCCTGGGGACCCTAAGCTTCGCTGTTCCTCTGATGCTGGTGTCCAGGTGAGGCAGGAACGCCGGGGGCGGGGCGGCACGAAAGGGGAGGAGACCCTCGCCCCCCCTTCATGCCTCCTGTCCCCCAGCGTCCTGATGGTCTACACCTTGACACTGGCCACTTCCTACGGCCGCCTGGTCTCCAAGCTGAAGGGGCATTTAAAGATGGTGAGAGAACGCCAAAGGACAGGACGGGGCTGGCCGGGATCACCGATCCCCCTTTCATTCGCTCCGCTCCTTCGTCCTCAGGAAAGCGAAAGTAAAGTGCTGTTGGCCCAGAGGATTGTGGAGCTCAGCGGGGAAGAGCGGGACCTCTGATCCGCAGGCGGGAGGCACCGGGGCAGGCTCGGGGACGCCGTCCAACTCTCACCCAGCTGGAGCGGGAGGCACGAAGACTACAAGTTCCATGAAGCCCTGGGGCAGGGGTGCCCCGGGGGCTTCTGGGAGACAGAGTGCCTCGGGCCAGACACCGGAGTGGGGCAAGGAGGGGTGGGGTGAAAGGGACGCCCGGGCTCCCCTGGGGAGCCCAAGCGTTCGAGTCCCAAGGCGAAGCTCTCTCAATAAAGGTAGTCCCGTCCCCTCGACTCTTCTCATTCTCCGCCCCCTGAGCTCGGCTAGATTGGGGAAAGGCGGTGGGGCGGGGAAGGATAGGAACTAGCCAATCAACCGCCGCGTCCCGAACCGGGGGCGGGGCTACCAGGAGGAGCCACGACTGCGCACCACCTCCCTGGGAACGCTAGGTCCCTTCGACCAATCAGCCCGGAGTGGGGAGGCGGGTCGAGTTCACAGTTTCTACCAATAGAAGGAAGTGCGGTTAAGAGGACGAGCCGGGGGTGGGGCCAAGCAAAACTCCGAAGGAAGAAGCGGCGCGCGCGGCCATGAATATCCTCCCGAAAAAGAGTTGGCATGTTCGAAATAAAGACAACGTAGCCCGTGTACGGCGGGACGAAGCCCAGGCCCGGGACGAGCAGCGGGAGAGGGAGCGGCGGGCGCTGCTGGCCCAACAGGAGGTACGAGGCCCGGCGGCGAGAGAGCGCAGGCGCGCTCGAGGTGGGGCGGACGCACACTGCGCCAGCGCGGGAGCGATGGCGTCCAGTCTCTCGCCGTTTCCTCCCGGAATAAACCATCGGGGCGGGGAGGTGGGGGGAGGGGCGGGATGCAGCTTCACCGCGTACCTAGGGTGGTGCAGTAAGAATGACAACCCCGGCGCGCTGGGGTGGCCTGTGAGGCTTGCTCCAGGACCTGCCCCGCCAGCATCCCCCACGAGTGGGCATCCCGCATGAGCTTGAGCACCGTGGCTCTCAGGGCCTGCCCATGGATGGGTGGGACCAGCAATCGAGGCACGGACTCACAGGGACCCAGCGGCTGTGTGATGGGGCCAGGGCAAGCCACCTCATGGCCTCCGAGCCCCTTTCTCCTAACAGCCTTGGTTTGGGGGCACTCCTTTCCCATGTCATCCATGACTGACTGCTCTGGGTCCACCAAGCCCCCTGCTCTTTTTCCCCAGGAAGGCTCATGCAGACCCCCCAAAGGCCACCTTCTGCTGGGGAGCCGATGCCCCTTCACCCCGTAAACTTGCCTGGGGCTGGAAGGGCTTGGTGTCCCCGCCCCCACTTTGTGCCACCTGCAAACTTGGCATCCAGCCTCATCTGTGTCACTGGCCAAAGTGCGGAGCAGCCCAGGACAGACACGCATGTTCTCATTTCCCAGGCCCGAACTGACCTCCTTCGGAAAAGAGCCCGCCACCGGACGCCCCTCCCTGCGCCAGGGACGGAAGTGGCCGAGGAGGGCCCTCGCCCCGTGGACCTGTTTAGGGAGCTGGTGGAGGAAGGGAAAGGGACGGCCAGGGGCAACCAGGAGTATGAGGAAGAAAAGAGGCAGGCCAAGGTAAGGGGGCAAGGGTCCGCCCTCCCCGATCCTGCCCGAGGCCCTTGACCCAAGTTTGTTTAGACCCAGAATGACTTGGCAGAGGGCTCCTGCTACCTCATAATGAGGGAATAGCAGCCAGACTCCCCTGGTACCCGCCCCTCAGCACGGATGGTAGCAAGGTGGTTGTCCAGCCACTGGCAGGAAGCCTCGAGGGAGCTGGACCCCCTCCCCTGGCCCTGACCCCTCCTCTCTATCCCAAAGGAACAACAGGAGAAGGCCCTAGGGCTCCTGACCTACCTAGGCCAGAGTGCAGCTGAGGCACAGACTCAGCCCCCTTGGTACCAGCTCCCTCCTGAGCCCAGGGGCATGCAGTGCAGCCCTGCACGCGATGAAAAAGCCAAGAGCCACCTGGACCCACTTCGGGAGCTGAAGAGGCAGCTGGGCAGAAAGAGGGGGAGTAAAGGCGGTGGAGAAGGGGGTGGCCATCACGAGGAGCCAGAGAAGCAGCGCCTCAAGAGGTAAGGGGCAGGCAGGGATCTTCAGGATCTTCAGGATCTGGGCAGGTCTGAGCCACTCACTTGACAGGTGGGAAGGCAGGCCTAGAAAGAAATCCATCAGCAGATCCAGTTTCCCCTCCCCCATTTTCCACATGGGAAACTGAAGCCTGAGCAGGGACCTGCTCAGACACCCCAAACAGTTCCACTCCCTCCCATCATACAGATGGTCAAATCAAGTCAAAATGATTCACAGCCTCCGTGAAACCAGCGCCAGGGTCTCGGACCTGAGGGTGGAGACAGACCCCGACGGGATCCCTGGTCCGAGGAGAACGTGCATTTGGGGCCTAGAGCCAGGGCCCCTCCCTCACTTTCTTGTCCCCATACAGCCCTGGGACAACCTCCTTGGAGCAGCTGCGGGCAGAGCGTCTGAGGAGGGAAGCATCCGAGCGGTCCCGGGCTGAGGCCCTCATGGCCATGATGCGAGGAGAGCAGCCCCGGGAGGAAGAAGAGGCTGACGAACGCAAGAGACGGTACAACTCTCAGTTCCACCCCCAGCTCGCCCGGCCCCCTCGGCACTAGGACTGCAGACCTCATATAAAACTATTTATTCATAAATATCTTCAAAAATGAAAATAGGTTTACGAAAAACAAGTCCTTCCCCAGCAGGGGAGGGGTGGGGGAAGGAGAGTCCCTGGCCCTGCGCACCGTCCCTTGCCCCAAGTGCTGGGGGCAAGCAGGAAGAGGAGGGCCGTCAGGTGGGCCAGGGGAGGGGGCAGAGGGTCAGCGGGCAGGGGTCACTGCAGGTCCCGGTCCTCCAGGTAGCGGTACTCGAAGGTGAACCCCTCCTTCTTCCGCTGGCCCCACTTCTCATAGTCAAAGTAGATGTAGGTGCCCTGGGGAGACGCGGAGAGGCAGGGATCAGACCACACAGCCAACTGGAGAGTTTGAGGCCCCCGGACCCAAAGTCTCACTTCTCCAGTCCGCACCTGCTTCCCCATCTGAACAAAGAAGGGGTTGAGCACGTGATCTCTAGGGACAGCCCCAAAGGAGAAGCTGCTAACCCGAGGCTAGGGCTAAACCCCTCTGGAGGCTCTACCCATCGAAGGCCATGGGTTAGGGTTAAATGCTGTATTTCAGCCAAGTATATACAGTAAAAACTTTTGTTCCCATCCAAGCTCACATTCCTTCCAAAAGCTATTGAAGGCAAGAGACCAGGTTAAGAGGCCGCCCTCCATCTGGGGGGGGGGGCATGGAATGGTCCAGGAATAGGAGGGAGGGCTATGGTGCCATAAGAAACAATGCTTCCTTTATGACCTGAAGCAAAACCAGGAGAATCACCTTTCATAAGACTTGAGACAGCAGAATGACTTCTACCAACCACCCCAGGATAGACTGAGATGTGGAGCTTTTACACACGGCCAACTACAAAATTTGATTAGCTAGGCGATGCCTGTTGTCACCATGGTTTCTCTCCCCACTCCCACCCCAACAGAATGTCAATTTTCAAAAGTAAAATTTAAATTTAAAAAATTGGAGTGTGTGTAGGTAGGGTTAATAATGCCGCCCCCCCCCCCCCCAGCACTGGGGCAGAAGTGAAAAGAAGGAGTGCCAGGAAATGAAGTTTGGAAAAACCATTTTGGACTATAGCAGTACCCTCGTTGATAAAAGGGTTTAAGACCCTAGAATCTGACAGAGCATTTTTATGGAACCAGTGAGCTGGGACCACTAAATTTCCCCCATCTCTTCCCCCCAGCCTCCACCTATCTTACCTATGCCAGATTAAAGGCACGCGCCCCCCCCACCTTAGGCCTGGACTCCCAGTCCTTTGGCATCTCTGAGGGTCACTCAATAGGTCACCCCACTCCAATGCTTCACTTTTTTGGGTTCAGACCCCTTCTCAGAATCAGATTTTTAAATGCAAAAAATAAAATGCATGGGGGTAACGAGGGAAAGCAACGATACTTAACTTGGGCCAAGTCTGCAGAGCCCAGGTTAGGAAGGCTTGGCTTACAGGAGGCAGCTCGAGGTGGGGCAGAGGGCACTTCTCCCACCCCCTTCCTTCCATTTCCAAGGAAGCCGAGGCTTTGAGGCAAAGCCAGGGGTCCCTCACCTGCTCAAACTCGTCCGTGATGGTCTTGGGCTCCTCGTGCCGCTGAAACCACATCATGTATTTGGTGTGAAATCGCCATGACTGCTTCTTGAGGGCCTTGGCAGCCAGGTACTGAGCTTTGGTGCCCTGGCAGGAGTCAAAGGGTAGGGTCAGGGCCCCACGAGGATGGCATGTGCAGGGGGGAGGGTGCCTGGACAGGCTGAGGAGGGGGATGGCCCAGGGGAGCCGACCCTTCCCTCTGCCACCCTACCTCCAGATAGTAGAAGATGAAGAACAGGGTTTCTGTTGAGAGGCGCTGGTAGAACTCCACTGTGTCTGAGTGAGGAGGCGGCATCTGATGGTGGTACAGCGGGGTCGGGCACGGGTTCCGGGGCAGGTACTGCCTATTGAGGGCAAAGGAAACAAGGCAGTCAAGCTCTATTCCTGAGCCTTGGAGCCCCTCCTCTCCCCACGATTCTCACCACCGGCACCCCACCCCCTCCCACTCTCTCCAGAGCCTGGACCTCCCCCCTCAGGTCCCTGATCCCCAGCACACCCTGCCCACAAGGACCCCCCAATCCTCATCCCATCTGTCACACCCCTCAGGCTTCCAGTCTCTGTCTCTCCCTCCTCAGGCACTCAGGTGGCCCGGGCCCAGCTCAGGATTCAGGAACCCCAACCTACTAACTCAGTCCCCAGGGACTGATCGGTAGCCCTCTTCTGAAGACCCCAAATGCTAGACTCGTCCCCTCTGCCGCTGGCCCTGGGCACTCACCTGATGCGTTCTGAGTCAGAAGGGTGGGGCATGTGGTGCCAAGCAGCCTCCTCCATGGCCTGCTGGTAGAGCTGCTCCTTGGTGAGGGCCACAGGCCCCAGGGGGCAGACGCCCAGTGACAGGGGGATGTTGACCTCAGACAGTTGCAGGGGTGGCTGGGCTGTGAGGCCGGAGGGGCCGAACTGCTGCCCAGGAGCAGGTCTGGGTGAGAAGGACAGGAAATGTCTGGAGGAAGACTCCAGCGGGACCCACCTCATGGCCCAGATTCCCCAGGGCTCCCACTCACCACGCTCGGCCAGGTGCAGGGCGGGTACGGGATCCTCAATGCCAGAGCTGATGGCTGCCCGCTCTGCCATGGACTTCAGGGAACTGAGGGGCTCAGGAGCCTGGGGGCAGAGGGAGTCACAGTGGGCCAGACCATACACACAGAAAGCAGACGAGGGGGGTTTGAACCCAAATCCCTCAAGTGCACGTCTGGTGTCCTTTTCTCACACTGCCTCTGCTGGTGGCAGGGAAGGGGAGGGTGGAACGTCCTCCTTGGAATGAGGGCAGGCCAGGACACAGATGCCCCCAACAGCAGCACAGGCCTAACGCCTCTCCTCTCCCAGATGCTGGGGATATTTCCTGTGGACCTCAGCAAGAAGTCACGAAGCTTACGGCTCACCCAACTTGCAGAGGAAGAAATTAAGGCTGAGGGAAGGGACAGGACTTGGCCTAAGATGGGAAGGTGCCATGGGAGAGTCTCACTAGAGTGGTGCAGGGGCCAGGAGACGTGGGAGGAGGCTCTCACCTTGATCTCCGGGGCTGTGCTGAACTGGGGGGGGCCATTGAGCAGGGCCCCAGCTGCCTTGGGCTCACTGAAGCTGGGTGTCGGGGAGCTGGGAGGGTTCACAGGCAGGGGCACCAGGAGGCTGGGTCCTCCAGCACCGCTCCCTGAGCCCCCACCCACGCCCCCTGCTCCCGCTGGGGCCGCCCCAGCCGCCTCCTTCCTGGTGTGGAAGAGAGAGGAAGTCAAGGCTCACACAAATATGAGGAAGGAGGGCACAGACTAGAGGGACCGGCTGCAAGGAGATGCCCGGACCCTTTGGAGTGCTCCCAAGGAAGGAGGACAAAATGTCCCCCTGCTGGCTGGAAGGGGGTCTCCTCAGGAAGCCAGGGACCCGCCGAGGTGTCTCCCACGGCTCCCTCCTCCCCAGCCGGCTGGGACCCTCAGACCACCCCAACAGAGCCCATGGGGTCCAAGGGGAACCCTCTCGGGACTCTGACTCACGTGGTGGTGGGTGGTGGGTTGTGGGGACCAGGGGGAGGCCCCAGGGCTTGGCTGCCGCTGCCGCCGCCACTCAGGCTCAGCTCTGACGAATTATCGGCCACCACGGAGCTGTAGCCTAAGGGGCGAGGGACAGAGCGTCAGGCGGGAAAGCTTCCCCGACACGTTCTTCCGCCGCCCCCTCGGGCCCCCCACTCACTGGTGGCCCCGTTCTGCTTGCCGCTGCTCCCGCCGGGTTGGACACTGGGTGGCCTGGGCTGGGCAGAGCTGGCGCTCGGGGCAGGAGGGGCTACAGCCTGGGCGTACGGGGTGGGGGTGCTGGCATTGTGGCCTGGGGCTGGGTTGGCTTTAGGAGGTGCCACGGGGGCCCCGTTGCTGCCGGGCCCATTGCCCAGTCCAGGGGGCGCAGGGGCAGGGCCAGCCGGGTAGCTGGACGGCACAGCAGGGGACTGTGGATGGTGGTTGCCGTGGACAGGCTTAGAGCCATTCTTGGCTGGAGACTGAGGAAAAGAGGAGAGAGAGCGAGCAGTCAGGGCACAGAGGAGCAAGCAGCGCTCCCCCCAGTGCCCTGGGGCCCAGCTAAGTGCAGACAAAGGGGACTGAGGGGCCCCACCTGGCTCACTTCACTGTCTGTCGATCGTCCTCTCTTTTTGTCATCTTCAGAGTTCTCCTAGGATTTGGGAGACAGAATTAGGGTCTGAAAAGACTGGTGTCCAGACTTCCTCCGTTCCAGGACCTGGGTCTTGAGACCCTCTTGAGAGCGCAGGCGTACAGACCCCGACCTCAGCCCCAGCCCCTGTGGAGGCCATCCGTGTAGTGTCCCCGCCTTTCCTTAGGGAACCTCAAGGTCCACAGCCCTGCCCCTCCCAATCAGAGAGGCTTCTCAAGAAAACAAACAATCGACGTTCCCTGCCTCAGCCCCCGCCTTCCGGGGACCCGGGGTTCGGCTCACCGTCGTGCAGTTGGCTGGGCTGGGCGGGATGGGGGAGCTGGAGGTGGTGGAGGTGGGTGTGCTGCTGGACTGATTAAAGATCTCATCCTCCATGTGGCTGTGGGTCGGGGGTGAGGTGGCGACCAGCGCCTGCGCTGTGGTGGTGGAAGAGAACGTGGCCAGGCTCCCAAGCCCCTGCCTCAGAGCCAGGCCCCCAGAGCCCCCCCTGCGTTCCCCACGGCTCCTTACGAATGTCCTCAAGATCAAGGTCGTCGTAGAGGAACTCGTTCTCCTCAAAGTCAGGGTCCTGCGAGGAGTCCACATAATACTCCACATCGTCCTTGATCTTCCGAATCGAGTCCACAAGGATGGAGTCATTGTCCAGCATGCGCAGGATGGTCTCCAGCATGCGCACATGGTAGCGGTGCTTCTCAATGTGGCGCTTCAGGCCCTCGATCCGATCCTGCTTCTGCGGGCAGTCGTGGGAGAGCTGGCTCAGGACCCCAAGCCCAGTCTGGGCCAAGACATCCTGGGAACCAG